GAAAACTGAGTTCCAACCCCAAAATTTAATACCATTTTGATCTTGGGTTTATTTTCACTTCACATCACCCCCCCTTCAACCATACATTCTTCAAATCTCCCCCGCCTTGCATGAGATAACTCTCGGATCCAAACATTTGTTTTGGCATGGAATTGAATCGGATTCCTCTTTCATAAGCTCTGCAAAAAGAGCTATAAAGAAGGAAAGAGTTTGAGTTCCTCAACAAAATTTACTTTGAATACTTCTCCCCTCCAAATCGATTTTACCCCCACCCAATCATGTTGGCACTTCGATCTAGAGCAGCTGTTGTTGCTAGAAGAGCACGCACTGCTACTAGCAAATTCCCTTCCTCTTCGACCGTGAGATCTCTCCCACAAAGCTACCACCGCCGTAGCTCTTTCGTCCAGACGACAATACTCTGCGCCCGCTACAGATAGTTTCTCAACTCGTTCGACTGTGGTACAACTCCTCAGTAACATTGGTTCCAAGCGTGAAGTTCAGCAATATCTCTCCCATTTCAGTTCTGTGTCTTCGCAACAATTCGCCGTTATCAAGGTTGGTGGTGCCATCATCACCGAACATCTCGAATCTCTTACATCGGCCCTTGCATTCCTCAACCATGTGGGTTTATTCCCCGTTGTTGTTCATGGCGCCGGACCACAATTGAATAAGTTATTGGAGGATGCTGGTGTGGAGCCACAATTCGAAGAGGGCATTCGTGTTACAGATGGAAAGACATTGGCAGTTGCGCGAAAACTGTTTTTGGAGGAGAACTTGAAGTTGGTGGAGAAATTGGAGGAGATGGGAGTTAGAGCCAGACCAATTACTTCTGGTGTTTTCGGTGCAGATTACTTGGATAAGGAGAAATACAATTTGGTTGGGAAAATCAACAAGGTCAACAAAGGTCCAATTGAGGCTGCTATCAATGCCGGATGCTTGCCAATTTTGACTTCTATGGCTGAGACTCTTGAGGGTCAAGTCTTGAATGTCAATGCTGATGTTGCTGCTGGAGAACTTGCCAGGGAATTACAACCATTGAAGATTGTTTACTTATCAGAGAAGGGAGGACTCTTCAATGCGGATACTAACGAGAAGATTTCGGCCATCAACCTCGATGAGGAATATGATTCTTTGATGTCACAATGGTGGTGTAGATATGGTACAAGATTAAAGATCAAGGAGACCAAACAATTGCTTGATCTCCTCCCAAGATCTTCCAGCGTTGCTATTATTCACCCAGCGGATCTTCAAAAAGAATTGTTCACAGATACCGGAGCAGGAACTTTAATTAGAAGAGGAAACAAGTTAACCACCGCCAGCTCCCTTTCTGATTTTGAGGATATCCCAAAATTAAAGGATGTTCTCGTACGCGATCGTGAGGGTTTGGATGCCCGAGCTACTGTTGACAGATATGTTGACGGTCTCAAGAACAAGGAATTCAAGGCTTATTTTGATGAGCCTATGGATGCTCTTGCAATTGTTCTCCCTCCAAAGTCGCCGAGTTCCCTTTCCAACTTGGCCACCTTTACTATTACCAAGGCTGGATGGTTGACCAATGTTGCTGATAATGTCTTTGCTGCTATCAAGAAGGATCACTCTAAATTGGTCTGGACTGTTAAGGAAGACGATGAGAATTTGACTTGGTTCTTTGATAAGGCTGATGGAAGTTTGTCTAAGGATGGAGAGGTTATGTTCTGGTACGGAATCACAGATGGCAATGAAGTCAAGGACCTCATGACTGAATTCGTCACTCATGGTAGATCTATGCTTGGTGATGCTAACCTAGAAGCACGACTTCACCGTGCGGCTAGAGCAGCTACTGGAATGAGTGCTGCTATGGCAGGTCAAGGTGCTATCAAGCAACAAGCTAGAGCTTTCTCTACTTCTGCTCGTAGACCTGCGGTGAAATCTACCCGGGCTTCGCACTTTATGATCTCAGGACGAGGATATGCTACAACAACCAATCCTAACCCTCCTTTTGGCAAGCAAAACTCATCTAATACTCAGCCAGCTAAGGTTGCTTTGATCGGTGCTAGAGGTTATACTGGACAAGCTTTGATTAGCCTCCTTAATGCTCACCCAAATATGGATCTCAGACATGTCTCATCAAGAGAACTTGCAGGTCAAAAATTGAAGGGTTATGAAAAGAGAGATATCACATATGAAAACCTTTCTCCAGAAGATGTTCGCAGAATGGAAGAAAAGGGAGAGATTGACTGTTGGGTTATGGCACTACCAAATGGTGTTTGCAAGCCTTTCGTTGATGCTGTCAACGAGGGTAAGGGTCCTCAAAATAGTGTCATTGTTGACCTTTCTGCCGATTACCGATTTGATAGCAAATGGACATATGGTCTTCCAGAGTTAGTCAGCAGATCTGACATCGCTAAGGCCACTCGGATTTCCAACCCAGGTTGTTATGCTACAGCAGCTCAACTTGGAATTGCTCCATTGGTACCTTTCCTTGGTGGTCAACCAACTGTCTTTGGTGTATCAGGTTATTCTGGAGCCGGTACCAAGCCATCCCCAAAGAATGATGTCGAGAACCTTACTGGTAACATCATTCCTTACTCTCTCACAGACCACATCCACGAACGTGAAATTAGCACTCAGTTAGGTGTTGAAGTTGCCTTTATTCCACACGTAGCAGTCTGGTTCCAGGGTATCCATCATTCAATTTCTATTCCTTTGAAGGAGAAAATGACTAGTAGAGATATTAGAAATCTTTATCAAGAACGATATGCGGGAGAGAAATTGGTCAAGATTACAGGTGAAGCGCCAAGTGTTAAGAATATTAGTGGAAAGCACGGAGTAGAAATTGGTGGTTTTGGAGTACATAGTAGTGGTAAGAGAGTGGTTGTTTGTGCTACGATTGATAATTTATTAAAGGGAGCTGCGACACAATGTTTGCGTGAGTTTTATCTTTTCATTCATGCTTTGAATTGAGATGGAAGAATTGAAAGCTAACATGTGACAATAGAAAACATGAACCTCGCATTAGGATTCGCGGAATATGAAGGCATCCCACTTGAATAAATGCAGAAGCCCAAGTCCTTTGAGCAAATGCATACAGGTAGTTTGAATTCCGTGTGTTTTTGCGCCCGAAGATTGAAAGTTGATGAAGGAGGAAAGGGAAAGAAGGAGGGAAGGGAAAGGAGAAGGGTGAAGGGAGAGGGTGAATTTTGATATCAAATCTGCGGAGGTGAAGTAGAAAAGGAAGAAGTGTGGATGAATGCGTTGTATATAGGGAAATTAGGCGAGGATGTGCTTGAAAGAGCCGATGATTAGGAGTAGTTTAGTGGGGAGAAATGGTAGGCTACATATGTTTGCTAGGAGGTTGAATAGCTTGTATGGAATTGTCGCGAGGGAGAGAAGGAGATAAGTAGTAATGGAGTTAGTTGTAAATACCATTGATTGTCTGCTGTTTAGTTGATATTCTTTCATTCATTCATTCGTATCATCAATATCTTTGAACATCTCCCTTAAATACGCTTTTATTTTAGTTTAGTTTAGTTTATGTGAGATGAGATGTGGTAGTGAGTCATTGGATAGATTATTTTGGCTGAAGCAGAAAGAAAAGAGTTAATAATTATAATTATATATATATATATATATATAATAATTACTAATTAATTAACCCAGGATATCAATATTTCAAGAGTATTGTTACATATAAATAAAACTTACAAGATTCAAAACCAATGTGACGGAAATCCCTGCTTTCCTCCCACCCTTATTATATAAGAAACCTCAGGTACATTAACCATGTCCACACATGATACGATTACTCGAGATTAGTATGCGATTTAGGTGACCTGAGGATCAGATCCGGACAAGTACTAGGTATCAATGGTTATCGGTAAAGTAAGATCATTGGAGGAATAAATATGACTTCTTTTTGCCTGGCCATTGCGGCTAGGCCATTCATTTGTGTATATATAGAGTAGCTATCCCCATCTACAGGTGCTCTTCACCTGTAGATTCTAAGTTAAATACAATTGCTGGTCTATAAACACCCTTTTGGTCACAACCAAACGAACAAACGAATACTTCATCTAAAATTAAAATCAAGTGATTCTCTAATTTTAAACTTCAATTTCTGCCACTCACGGATCACGACTCATTTTTGAAAGATCTAGAGATTACATATGATAATTTCAAATATAATATCCTTTTCCCAATAACAATAATAATAATAATAATAATAATAATATTTATCTTCTTTCCTGTTTTATCTATCTATCTAATGCTGTGGTACTTAACTATAAAGTCCTCAACGCTATTACAAGAATTTGCAAAAACAAAATCCTCATTTTTATTTCTGTTCCTGTTTTTATTTCTCCTGAACGATTGCAAGAAGGTTACCTACGAAATTTGAGAAAATTGTCGCTTTTTTCAAGTCAATTCGATACCCAATATCGCGTTGTCTAAGGAGTAAGACTGGACCAGAACTAGACTTCGGATTTATACTTTCGAAATTCCTCGCTCCTCAACTACGTATACTTCAGCAATAAGCTATCCCCTGAGACCAACCCCCACACCCCTCCCCCCCCGCCCGCCGTACCCTCACCAATCCACATCCACCCGCGTACTCGAGCTCCTATCATGCATCCGCACATTCGATTTCGAAGAGCGCGAAGCCGCAGGAAATGCCAACGAGACGGATACAGGACCACGGCGCATATCCTCTGCCGACTCAATAATAAACTCCATAACCCTACCACCAAACTCATAAAGCTGCTCTCCATATTTTCTCTTTCCATGTAATTTACCTTTCTCATCTTCCCAATAAACAGCCCTAAAGGGATATTCCAACGCATCGTACTCACTAACCTTCCATCTAAAATCTCTGAAATCCCTCCAGGTTTCCTCGTCAAATTGACATTCTTGCGTTAAATGAACCAGATCCCCTAATTGCGGAACCATGGCCACATCATGCAACGTATCAAGTTGATCTAATGTCCCATGCAAATACAAACGCATAGAACCCCATCGTCCCCCAGAATGATATTTCGCCGCGGCCAAAACATCAAATAATTCATTCCTAGAAAGCGAGCTTAAATTTTCCGCCGCAAATTCATCTCGTATGCATATTTCGAATTTAAGATTCATCCGCGCGATATTTCGCGGCGTTTGTGAGCGACAGAAACTATACCATGCTTGTTCCCTCGTCATATATTTAATCCCTGTTGTATGTCTTGAAGGGATACGAGACTTGGCATATCGATTTTTAAACGTGACGTGCGAGCCTGAAACGGTTTTATGTTTGACGACTCTCTTCCAACGATGATCGATTTTTAACACGAATACGGTTTGTGAGGGGTTGAAATAGCCGTATGGAAATGCGTTGATGAGATCGGGTCTTTTTTTGGCCCAGGCTTTTACTTCTTTGCGGAGGCCTTTGGTGCTGAGTCGGAGGGCGTGGAAGGAATCGATGGTTGAGGGACTGATTTCTATTTCTGTGGTTGAGGCTATGAGTTCGTCGAAGATGGTCCAGCGTAATTCTAGGGGGATTCGTAAGAAGGGTGGTAGTTTCACGATATTGTTCTTGCGGTCTGAGGGGAGACGATGAGCTCGAGGGTGTTTAGATGGTTGTTTGTAGGATAATGTAACTTGTGATTTTTGCTGGGGGGTTGACTCGCTATCGGTCTCTTGGTTGGTGTGTTCAACTTCAAGGATTGAGAATCTAGATATAAAATTTAGAATTTGAAGTTCAAAATTTATGAATGGGTTCTTTGAACACGAAAGGGCATTTCCATATGTAGATCCAACGAAACATAGAGCAATACTCAACAAAAACATACCTATTTTCAAACACAAGCTGCTCCATCATAACAATCTCTGATCTACACAAATAATTCCAATCAGCAATTAATCGCACAACATTCTTTCTTTCTTTCTTTCTACATTCCCTCGAAATGGACAACAGGAGGACTAACTTACATACCTAAGTATTATAAAATGAATAATAAAACAAATGTATAAGAATGTAATCCTAGTATGTATTCTTGCTGTTACATTTCTATTGTGGTATGTAGGATGTTGTAATTTCCTAATCTTAGAACGAATAGGTAATTAAGAAGTAACATTAATGTTAAGGTTAACTCGATATTGAGTATTCGTTTCTGAGATGATCTTGCTGGGAAAGAGGAAAGAGGAAAGAACGAATGAAAGTGATTAGGTGGATTTTCATGTTGGGGAAGGGAGGGATTTGAGTATGGTTTTATGCTTGAGTAGTTGGGGATTGTAGATAGGTGTTTAGGAAAAGGGTTGAATGGCTTTAGGATTTAATGGCGATGTTATCTAAGAGAATGGGAAAATGGTATACGAAGGACGGTTCGAGAATTAATGGAGTTTTAGGATCTGCTGGATATTATAAATCAATGATATACTTATTATCACTCACATCAATAGATAGTTTCAAGTAACTTCCATGCATAGTTTCAACATCTCGTAGTGAAAGGACATCCATAAACTTCACAAGATAATCTTACAATCACACAACACAATAATAAGACCAAAGAATTATCATATAGCAATTAATATCATTTCATAAATCATAAAATCCATGCTTAGCAATAGGAAAATCCTTTTTACTACCACACCCTTTCCACCAACCTATCCATCCATCCATCCAACATACGCAAAATAGAAAACCCTAACCCATTAGACAATCGGTGTGAAGAGAGAAAAAACCCCCGTGACGCGGGTATGCCCAATCTTCGGGTATCGCAAATTAATGCCGCGTGAAGCAAGGGTATCATGATGCATGTGATTTACTGGTATGTCTTATTTCCTCCAAAAGTTTTGGAACCATCGAGATCAGCGTCGACTCTTGGGTCAGCCCTGTGAGAGAATTATTAGTATATATTTTTTAAAATGTCGATAAAAGATGGAAAGAGCTTACTTGTTCATCATATCACTGTTGTGTGGACCTGCAGTATTCTGAGCAGTTCCTGAACCTGGAGTAGCGTGGGAACCAGAAACTCCAAATGCAGAGTGTCCGGTAGAAGCTCCATGACGGTTTCCAGTGCTGCTCAAATCGCTGTCGACTCTTGGGTCAGCAGCATTGGCGAGGTTGGAGTTGTGAGGACCAGCATTGCTACTGTGGGACATTCCTCCACTGAAGCCAGTTCCGCCAACAGTGTTGCCAGCGGTTGTGCCTTGGTGGTGGTGAGTACCGGTTGATCCGACACCAGAGCCATATGTGTCTTGGGTACCGTAGCCGCTGGAGGTCTTGTTAGGAATACGGTTTCCATCTAAATCGGAATCGACACGTGGATCAGCCGCATTGGCAAGAGAGGAGCCGTGAGGTCCATGAGAACCCTCAGCGTGGCCAGTGTTGGAAGTTCCTGGAATGTGTGTTCCAGTGGTGTGTGTACCAGAGTGAGTACCAGTATGAGTACCAGTGTGGGAACCGGTGTGTGCACCTGTAGTACCATATGATGTATCTTGAGTGCCATAGCCGCCAGAGGTCTTGTTAGGAAGACGGTTTCCGTCTAGGTCGGAGTCGACCCGTGGGTCGGCAGCATTAGCCATAGACGAGGAATGAGGTCCATGGGAACCTTCAGCATAGCCAGTACGGGCTGCACCACCTGTGTTGGTTGTGCCAGTTGTATTGGTCGTGCCAGTTGTGCTATGGTCCTTGTTTCCACCTGAAATTGTTAGTGATGCTAGATAGGATTTGAGAAGATGGGGTTGTGCATACCGACGTGGAGGGCGTCCTTAACCTTTTGCATGGTAGATTCTCCGGTCATTTTGAATATGGTATTGATTGATTGAAGATTTGAAGTAAAGTGTTTAAGGTAGAAAGTTTATTGTGATTTGATTTGTTTTGAATGTATTATTCTTGAGTTGTTTGTTGATATGGAAGAGGGAAAAGAGAGGATATAGGAGGTAGCAAGCAATCCTTATATAAAAAACCACAAGACCTCAATTGCTTCATAACCTGTGTGAACGAAGAGGCGAATAAACCTGTTTGTGACGTCATGTATGAATAGCATGGTAAAATTCCAATAAAGAATTCACTTTCTCCTTTGAAGGGAAATGGAATTGTAAGACCGATATCATGGCTGGCGTCATAACATGAAAATCAACGAATAGAAGTATGCAGGTAGACAAATCCATCTGTTCCTGATTTCCCTTACCCCGCAGATCCCATCCACATCCATTAGCCAGACAGGTTTTCTGTAAGGGGCCAAGACAAATTGATTAACTGTTGTAAGTTGTAACCTATGGAGTCAATGGATTCCTTTAGCCGAACAGGCCCATATGTAGCCGCAAGAAAGGAAGAGCACCAAAGCAGGTAGGTAGGTTAGAGGTGAGTATCTGGGTAGTGCATGCTTCAAAGTTCACATATGGTGAAATCTGCCTTGGTTACTTCACGTATCGTATTCTTGTTATCCATCCTGCAAATGATCAATGATCTATGATCCGCACCAAAGAGTACGTACACCCTCTGGGGAAAAATCCCACGAACCATGAAACCATGAAACTCCACTGTAAATGCCAACCTAATCTAAAGTCGTCATAGCTGTGGCGCAAAGAGCTAACGTCATTGACCTTTTGTGGCTGTAAGGCGGACCAATCAATTATGCAGATCTGTTGATCAAATACCAGGTTCACTAGAACTTGTGGCTACCGGAAAAAAGAAAAATAAAAACCGGTTTCTGTGGCGGTGCAATTCCGAAATATGCTTAATTTATGCAAACGTTCACACCGGTCACCCCACTCGCAGCTCGACGTTCAAACTTTGTGCGAATTTTTCCGGACAAAGCATGACGTTTGAGTTGAATGAAAGGGAATCGAATCAAGCATCTCCATGTACAGTGCATATCCACTGGTGACCTTGCGAGCGCAATTCCGCCATGTAAGATTATGATGTTGGCAATTGCATCATATCTTTGCCTGCACGGAGGAGACTTACATCTTACATCTCGCACGTGAATAAGTACCGTCTCAATAGCTTCAAGGTGATTCTTAAGTAGAATTGTTTAGTAATACTGCTGCAAAGTCTACAAAACATCTGCCAGCCAAGCTAGTTTCACAATAGCCCACTTCGATACTGGAAAAAAGGTAAATGTTTTCATCACGTGATGATGTCGTTTCATGTTGAGTTGCAATGACCCAATCTTGTTTCACTGATGGCTGCCATCTAGATCTTTCGTGATTCTTTTCATTCTCTTCTATGTAGAAAGTGTTCATCCCTATATTGAAGCTTGTCCAGAAGAGGATATTTTTACGAATGATTCAATCTAAACACTTGTCCAAGCACACAGATGCGACTTGCTTTCCTTGATCATTATTCAGTCAAATTGTTCTTGGGATGGTGTTCAAATTGATTAGTCACCAAGATGTAAAGGTTAGAAGTCGCAAGTTTGTGGATCTTCACCAATTTTCGCAGCATTGCCTGATTGGTGCACAAAGTTAAGGCAACATCGTTGGGAGATGTGAAGATTAGTTCACTATATCTCTATGCCAAATACGAAGCCTCGTTTGCCCTTTTGCCCTTTTGCCCTTTTGCCCTTTTGCCCTTTTGCCCTTTTGCCCTTTTGCCCTTTTTCCCTTTTTCCCTTTTTCCCTTTGCTATCTCTTATGTGTAATTATCGGCATAATCAACAAAATATAGCTCATATCAACTCTAGCTGGCAGCGATGCGGATCTCTTTCTTTCGAGCCTCCTAGCCAGATGTTATTCCAAGATTCCGAATAGACTCAGCGGTCTTCGCGAGCTATTTTTATCTTTATTTCTCCGTGATGGCTAGTATTCTTAATACCTCAGTAATTCAACATGGACTTTCACATTGAGGTCTTAATTTGCTAATTTCTTTTCATATCTATTTTCGTGGGGAAATATTAATCCGAGAACTGCATAGTTACGCTCAGACATTCGCAACGACCACCGTCTCAAGCTATATTCGTCTGGTCATTGTCTAGAAATGGAAATTTAGCACTACCTAAGGTTTCTTAAGTAAGAACAGCCTTATGAATTTTCCTTGGCTGCTTTAGCTGTTTCATAAGGAGTTTGGTATAGAAGTCTATTTTACCTCACACCTTCGAGGAACCACCCTAAATTGTTGGCAAAGATTAACACTACCTCTAAGTACAATTAAATTCCCATACTATTGGTAGCTACAAACTGATCTTATTGTAATATTCTTTCCTTGTCCAACTATCATGGTTGCTTGATTCGTCACGCTTGAACTGATATATGTATTGCCAAAAATTATTATTCCTTAATTCTCTGATAAACTCTTTTCCTCATGGAGTTGATGGGTAATGTTGAGGATATTTCCATAGGTATGTGTCTCCAGAGCGGTGTTTTTGTACACAACACTAAATAGTTTTAGCTTCACGAATACTTTTAATATGTTGGCCTCTATACGCAATATCTGGAATATTAATAATGCTGAGATTGATCGCTAAAATGAAGATCCATATCCCATTTGCTCTGGAGGACCTTTTGGTTATACTTGCTATGGTGTGTATTCATTATATTCTTCTAATCATTCACTGACATGTCAAAAAGATTTTTGGAATCTGTCATATATCACTCAATACATGGGGAATAGGTTTTGGAATAGGAAGACATGTTGTATTCCTCACTGAATCCCAAACTGCGATGGCTTTAAAAGCTGAATTTATCAGTCAACCTTTTGGTGAGTGTCCCAAAGATAAACACAGTTGATCTATGACTAAGTTATCCGTAGGTGTTATATCACCGACACTCGGCAGGATATCATTCGCTGTCCACCTTACACGATTGCTAGGACACAGCCAGAATATTAGACGATTCCTCTATTTCCTCATTGCTCAAAACGCCTTGATAAATCTTCTGGCACTCATACTCCTCTTCTTTCAGTGTCCCAACATCTCCTATAATTGGGATCGTGTTGGATATAAAGACCAATGTTGGAGTGTCAAGACTGAAGCAGCAATTGGTTATTTTCAAGGATCATCCAGTTCCTTGACGGATCTCGCTCTCACAATTCTACCAGTCGCAATGGTTTTGAATCTACACATCCAATTACATTTGAAGTTCCTCTTGTCATTTCTCCTAGGAGTGAGTCTTTTGTAAGTTTTCACCTATCGATAACTTAAAGAATGCCTTGGCTGATATATCTTAGCGCTTTCATCGCCGCTGTCATCAGAACCTATTGCACAATGGGCGACAACAAAGATCCCACCTGTGAGTTCCAAACCCCACATCTTCACAGTATTCCATCTAATTCATAAAACCAGTCAACACGGTGAACTTTATCGTATGGTGCGCAGTAGAAAACTGCACCGTCATCATAACATCCTCAATACCCTTCCTCCGGCCACTTTTCCGACCAGCTCCCAAACCATACATTGAAGTAAAACGTCATCCGAATCCAGTCGTTTTGCGTCACAAATCAATAGAATATAGAAGCTCGATGGAGATACTCGCAGGATCGGAAAATAGACAGGTGGAAATAGATGATAAGGAGGATAAAGGGAGCATTTTTCAGGTTGAAACTCATTCGCTTGTGTAGGATTGGTATTAGATTGGGGAAATTATAAGGAGTTTTTTTGGGGTTGGGGGCGGGGAAGGGGGGGGATATATATGATTAGATGATTTATGATTGATTTAGAGCTGGGGGAAGGTCGTGGGACGGGATTTGATGGGGTATGGCGTAAGGTTCTTTTTTGTCTATCGACAGAGTGGAGTTACTCGATATACTGTACGCGCAGTAGTGTCCATTGCCGTTTGAAAGTTTCGACAGCACAGGATCAGTTTTTTATTTCCCTACCCCAGATGGATTCTTGATATCTAGATTCTTCTTTTTCAATATGAAAAGTACTATTTCATCAATCTCTGGATCCGGAGGCGCCAAATTCGCGATGTTATAAAACTTATAAATATAATTTAAATAGCATTAAATATGAAAAATATGAAAAATAATCCTGGAGTTTAGGACTTTAATTGTATGATTAAGTAGGATTTTGATTTTTCGTGGATTGATTCATTCATCCTTCAAGGAGTAAGGATTCAGAGAATAGCGTTTAACATTCAATGGCTGTCTTGCTTTGAGAATAGTACGTAGTAAGGAGCAGTTGAGTTCTACTGTTTTTGAGCGAGTTTAAGCCATTATAGCTAGCTACATTTATTATAATTGGAATACACTAAATTATAATCAAATCGATATTATTTTTATTAATATTTTCTTGACGGTTTTTATTTCTGAAATTATGTATATAAAATTATACAATAAATTACAAGTATTCCCCCAGAAATCTTTTCATAATTCTTTGTTTTCATGATTTATCTAAGGAAGTTCTTGGAATTATTATTATCATTTTCATAATCAGTATTATTCTTTTCCTTTGACTCAAGATAGGATTTTGAGGTTTTAGGATGAGGGCGATAAACTAGTCTATCAATTTGATCACTTGAAAGGAGGATGAGTTGAGTTGAGTTGTTTTTACCTGATATTATAATTATAGAGAGGATTGTTTATCTATAGGCTTAAGAGAATTTTGAGCTAGAGAGAGGATGATCAATAATTAATCATCTTGTATATTGATAGTGAAAAGCTGAGTTGGTAGATAATTATGGATTAATAATAAATTTATAATTTTAATAGATGTTAATTCGACATCATTAATCAATTAGTCGAAGAGGAGTTTTCAACGAATCTAACTGCTGTTATGTTAGTGTACTATATTTCGCGGCAAGGAATTTAGTTAATTGGATATAAGTATATTTGTATACTAATTCATCGTAAGCTCATGTATTTATTGGTTCACTCGTGTTTAAATTCGTCTGGTAGTTTATATAGTTTTCTCCTTCTAACCAGTTACTGAAATATTAGTACAAAAATATGATTTCTCCTAAATGTTTCTCCTCGGGAACCAGGATTCTTTTCGATAGTAAGACCAAAATGAGAGTGCTCTTGTATCTGTAATAATGATATAGACAGCTGATATCTTTACAGGTTTATATATACTTGTATACTATTGATCTTGGTCACTCTATCCACAATCATTGAGTAACTTTAAAAGTACGATTTCTATTTCAGCTTTAATTTGGAGCTGAATTCGAGTTTTGATCAGAGAGAGTTGAGGAATCAGGATATCAAGAAGTTTCTTTTCTGTTGTAATTTTAAGGTGACCATGATAACTCATTAACATTCCTATAATACGAAAAGTCTTTCCCTCAATACCTCATCTCAATTTTTTAAACACATGAAATGCTCCGACACCTAATAGTTATAATATTAGATTTGCTGGCACCTTTCTCACACGAAGGTCAAAATGCCACCATTAATATGAAAAGCGCCATTCAATCTATTCACAAGCTATGCCAGGTATAGATACAACCCAAAATATATTTTACTACAGCCAGCGAACGTATTAACCTACGCGAACCTTGACTCTGAAGACTTCTTGGTTATTGACCGAGCAGAATATCAGTAATTTTGTAATTCCAGCTTGTCAGATGCTTGCAATATGTATGATGCTGTTGGTTGATATATGTTTAAGTGAAGATTGTTCTTTTCTTGATTTCGATGTTAAGGTTAATGTAAGATGTCAATATTCACAAACACTTCAATCTAACGTTCGGTACATCACATGACCAGTCCCACACCGGCAGTCGTAAGGTTACAACAAAAGCCGGTAAGGTTAATTAGTGATACCATACAACACCAACCAAAACCACAAGTAAGAAAAAAAACCCCTTGCTACTTACATTCCCATGGCCAGTGATATGGGTAACCTAGAATTTTTCTCCGGCAGTGAAACACGTTCACCTACCTATTCTACCTACAAATCTAGAACATTAACCAAGGATCCGGAGTACAGAAGTGGATACCGGTACATTTCTCTTAGTAACCAAAGACATATTCCGAACCCCAGCAATAAAATTCCAAAGTGGTTCACCCAGTTCTCATACGTAGCGGTAAGACAAGAATCCCCCTCAAAAAATGGGATGATTTAAGGTTAAGGTTATGCTTCTTCGGGGTCCACGAACTATCGACCTTGATGGATTTTCTCTGGAATGTTTTATTTTTATTAATACCTAGGTGGGTTACTGGGGATGTGTTGGGGGGGGGGGGAGGGGGGGATTACCTAATTGAAATGGTTGCGTCGATAGGGATGCTTTGCAATTGAGGGGTTTATATGTTGTTGGATATGTATGTGGGTTTATGGGGAATTGGGAAATTTAGGGTTGTTAATCTATTGTTCTCGAATGTTACTGTTGAAAGTTGTAGGTCTATTAAGATCTGTATGTTACGAAGAGAGTCGACTTCATGTCAAAACTTAATATTATAACCTCAATAACTGGTAAATTAGCACATACGGATGATTACTTTCGGAGCGGTCACTAAAAGCTCACATGTGACCAATTTTCTACCATGTTTATGATCTCAAGGAGTTTATGACTATGATACCAATATCTTAGTAAATTAGTCCTCATTTTTAGGAAGGATTTCTCCTAGAAAACCATTCCTGAATTTCTTTCAACGGTAGAGCACGTCTTGCCATCAGCTCGGCTAATGGCTCAGTCATCTCATTTAACTCATATACTCACCCTACTTGCCTTTATATAGCGGTACTTAAGACTACATAGAACTAATGATAATTATATTTAATCGCACCTAATCATGTCTTCGATTTCCATTCAATAATAGCCAGTATACGTAATACCCAGCTATAGCAACCTCGATCCAAGAAAATCCGACCAATTTAGAACTTGGGAGATGTGATACTGAGAGTTAGACACTTCTAAAGAATCCAACAAGTGAGATTTTGATATATTAGGGATCTGGAGGCTGGTTGTAAGTCTTAGATGTTATTATCAACTTTAATTTCTGTGTTTTAATAACTTAACAGGTGATGGATGGTAAATACAGAAGGCCAGTCTTCAGAGCGTCAAGAATACGAGGTGAGCACTAGACAACGATTTCCTCTCAGTTAGGAGAATTCAACTTGCAAAATTTTAATACATCTTCACGAATATATTCAGAGTTGGTTTGAGTTTGTTTCAAGTTTCCATGGCTACCATACTGAATTATCAATTAGATCATCCGACCAATGCATCCTGCGATAAAATCTTCCAAATCCCTTCTCCCTTTGAACATATATTCACAAAAGTCCTCCACAAAAGCGCGTTAAGATATAATTTGAATGAAAACTCCACTTCTCCAGCCGGCCAACACATATCATGTCTCCCATTTCCGATATGTGCGTCTAGTTTGCCAAGGATAAGCCTGCTCCCTTTTGCTTGCAGTAGTATGACCACTATTTATCATGTTAGTTTTTGTTCTTTATAATCTTGTCACGAGATTATTTGTGCTTGAGAAGAGGGTGGGAAAACTTACTTCGTCACCACCCATGTGCCATCCGTTGGTGTGGCAATGGGGAATGTCGACTGTGTCCATGTAGCAGTCTGGACATTTGTCCCATTGCTTGTTACCCGTGTTTCTGTTCTTGTAGGCAGTGCATGCATCTTGAGTAGCTTTGCTGTTGTATACATACTAAATGGTTGATTAGTATTGATATATGATGGGAAGTGTTTGGGGAGTGGAGAGTAAGCAATGGAGTGGGAGATAGAAGAGCAATACGCGTGTTATTTGAGAAGAAGATATAGAAATGGGGAACATACACCGTCTCCCTTGAGATCTGCGCAAATACCGAATTTATGGAGGTCAGCTACTGAGAAGCCGACGAGGGAAAGGAGAGCAACGGTTTTGAGGAGTATGGAAACCATGATGATGTTTGAATATTGTAAATGAATGAATGTGTGAGATAGATATGAGAATTGAGGATCTGGTTGAGGAGAATAGGTAGCTATTGATGGATTGATGGAAAGAGAAAGAATGAATGACTGATGTTTGGAGCTTCTAGACTGTGGTATATATAAATATGACAAGACTGATATAACTATGACCCAGAGATACTGATATCCTATTAGTCACAACCTTGTTGTGTCTCTGTAGACAATCTAATCTGAAATCTACAGAGGCATGACGGTGAAGAGATCAACATACTCTATCTGCCATCGTATCAACCAAAGTTTAAAGTGCCAAGAGACTGGAGAAATGTTGGAACAATCTCGGTGGCGTTTTCCCGAAATGACTTTGGATGATCATTTACGGGTGTTCGCATCCTTAAGCCTTGGATCCAGTGCCCTATGAGGCTGTTCAAGCGCCAATCATCCCGCAAAATGCTATCTTTGGGTACACTAATGGCGCTTGCGCGTGAAGGTTTAAGGTTCAAGGTTCCATGGCATGACATAAATTTGAAATTGCGATTTACCTGTCACTATTGAAATTGGTCGTCGAACCTTAACTCTAAATATGACGGAAGCAAAGAAACGGTGATGCTTGTCATAATGTCATGTCATTGTCATGTCATGTCATATTCTCCGGAGTCCGTAATCTGGTTGAGAAGCACTTACACCGTTTAAGCCATTAGTCAAACCAAAACTATTTTAGAACTCAAAGGGGAAGGATCGCTCGCTTTTATTTCTCAATGCGGCCACCCGCTTAATTTTGATTCAAATTTTGGTCACATGCCAAGAGAGCAACAACCTTGTTCGCATGGCAGAACTAAGAGCCTCATCAATAATTGAGTTCTATAAGCCCTCGAATCCCCACGTGCAAGGAGTGATTAATTAAACCTCGCATTTATGGTTATATTTCGGACGGTTTCGAGAAAAAGCTTATTCCCACCCGAATGAATGTCATCGAATATCATTGGTCTGTTGGAGGTCACATTGATAATGAGTGGTGATTATTCAAGGCATTGGAGATACCAAAGGATAAGTGATTGCCTTATCTCTTTTGACGATCATCCCAACCTTGAGGCTGGTATGGTTGATTGTTCCAAGTGGACTAGGATGTTCAATAAGTGAGTCGTCTTGGGGAGAGGCTCGGGTTGCCCTCTGGAGTGAAGAAGTATATGAAGTCTTCGATTTCTCGTCCAAAGAATTTCGAAACATCATCCAATCTCAGTCTCTCCTTCTATCCTATCGCTTATTCTTTAAGTCATCTTATCTCAGTCTCTCTTTCTACTCCATTGACTTCCTCTTAAGCCCACATTTCATACACCAAGAACTTCAAGATGCTTATTACCTCTTTCCTTACCAGCCTCTTGATGGGCTCTTCCATGGTCGCAGCGGCAGTTGTTCCCCGGGAAATCGACGAATCCAAGATCCTTCTCTTTGGCGTCGATGGCCGAACAGAAGTCATGGATAAGGCTGAATTCATGGCTCTCCATGAGGCAGACCTCACCGCTGCACCTGGTCCCCTCGAACTCTCTGAGCGATCATTGAACGAGACCATAGAAATGGAAATCGAGGCAGCCCAGCTCTCCAAACGTGGCTGCAAGTCTTATTCCATCGTCAGACCAAACCCCGATCAGAAGTTCTTGAACTGGGACGTGCGCATGTCCGATATTCTTCATGCAACAGACCGTGATGCCACTCTCGGCGTCACCAAAGGTCACAGCATTGCAAATGCTATCGGCGTCTCTATCAGTATGACTCAGACACTTATCGAAAGTGTCCTGTCAGCAACCTATGGTATTACCTACACAGAGACTTGGACCAACACCTATACCACTGCCTACACCTTCACTGTACCAAAGGGCAAATATGGAGTTGTCGTCTCAAACCCTTGGACCACCAGAAGATCCGGAAATATTGATATTGGATGTATTGGTGTCCGCGGCCAGAAATCTACTTACCAAGCCGATAGCTACGAAAGTAACGATTACCAAGGATTGAGCTGGGTTTCTGGCACCATCAGTCTTTGCACCTCCGACAGCCATTCAATCCACTACTGCATCGGTAACGGATATCACAATTAGGAGGGAGATGGGATTCTTCTGTTGGAATGGTATTTAATGCTAAGGCATCTCTCCTGGAGCTTTTTACCACATTTGAGTGTATGGTTTGGAAAGAAAGGTGCGGATTTGGTAGTTTGTTTGTAGATTAAATAGTTTGGATAATGCAAGGATCGATGAAGGACTAATAACAATACTTTGTGTCAACTTTCATTCTCTTACCACCGTGCATTCTCTCTCAACGTAACTGTGTAAACTTTGTAGAAACCCATCCCAAAGAATGACGAGAGTCCAGTATACACCAAGCAATTCACCCTAACACCATATTGCGCCACTAAGAGTCCTACAGGAACTAGGACGGCCCAAGTAGAGTCTATCATAAATCCAGCAATCCCAACTTTGAAGGGACTCAAATGTGAACCATAAAGACCTCCAACCAACTCCATGCCTATATACATAAATAACACCATTTCACCCAACCCAAAATATCTATCTAATCGTGATCATGAAAAATGTAATCCTTCCTCGTTGAATGCAAATAGCAATCTGAGAAAGTCGTTCTCATCGCATTTCCCGGCACGTGTATCCGCCAACTCAGTTACATCCTCCAGAACTTTGCGTATTTTTTCTCGAACAAGCTCTGCCACCCGGGTCTTGGGTACTTTGCTTTTAGTTTTAGGCTTGTTGGTTCCTTTAAGCTCCTGGAAGAAAGATGGCGCTTCATCCTCGAATCCATCCTCGCCTTTATCGGTATCCATGTTTCCTCCCCACTCATCTTCTCCTTCCTCAGCGATTGGCGCATCATCCAGATCCATATCCTCGTCCTCGTCATCAACTGGAGTCTCGTCGAGAGCGATATTGTTTGTTGAACAATAAACTCGATAGTTCCTCTCACACATTGCAAGTACCTGCTTCATTCCCAACCAACTAGCCCTCATAGTTCTATTCTTTCTTACGAAACATATTCTCAACATACCATCCCATTCTTCCCAACTGACCCCTGGACGCTCTTTGCCTGTTTTGGGTTCGATCCGCACCACAGAGGATTCGACCTGTGGGGGTGGTCTGAAGTTATTTTTACCAACCTTCATTATGTGTGTGATCTTGGCGAAGAACTGCGCATTGACAGACAACCTACAGTAGAGTGAATCACCAGGGCGGGCAGTAAGACGGAGAGCGAATTCGCGTTGAAACATGAGAACACTGCATCGGGGAGGGTTTGGCAAGGACAGCAGTTTGAAGACAAGTGGTGACGAAATCTGTCGACCATTAGAATTTCACCCCATAAGCACAGGAAGAAAATAGACAGCCACATACCTGATAAGGAGTATTGCTAATGCACACATCGAAATGTGGCAGTTCTGTCTTTATGACATCGCCCAAGAGAACCTCCAATCTTTTCTGTTCCGGCTTCCCCTGCACTCTCTTTGTGACTTCTGCAGCCATTCTAGGGTCCACTTCCACAGCTATAACTTTCTTTGCGCTTTCCAATATCCTTACTGTTAAATTTCCTGTACCTGGACCGACTTCGAGTACTGTATCCGTAGGTTTGAGGTTCGCCTTCTTCACGATAGCTTCTGCCACTCCAGGATTTTTAAGGATATGTTGTCCATAATCTTTATTGTGCTTGAACGAATTGGTCAATGCAGCAGCTTTTTCGTAAGGTGTGCCAGCAGCGGCAGTATTGCGCTTGCTAGTCTTTAGTTTGGGCATGTTGGAAGTTGGTGGTGAGGGGAAGATATTTAGATTCAGAATTCTGGATAAAATAAAAATTATTTTTCTCCGGGGTCGCCTAGATTGTCTTATCGGACTGATAACAGTCACGTGATGTGGAGAAGATGGACCGTGCCTCAGAGGAATCTAAGCATCTTTTCACTGCTTCTCCCAGCTCGCTTTTCCACAAATTAGGCGAAGTGAAGTTATTTTATATGACACACAGAACTTTCATTTTATGATAGTTATGATAGTTCTTTTCATCTACAATAATATCTTCGCTATCGACTAGATAAATTTCCTTGGACAGAGACTTGCTACTTATGCCTACTGAGTAGTCTTTAGAAGGATTGGTAGACTTAGGGTTAACCAAGCAGACCCGAGAAATGTAATGGTGCTCATTAGCCAATGATTCATGAAGTATGATGTTAAGTTTGCTAGGTTTGTTTCACAAACTGTTTGAACCATTTCTACCTCAAATAGACATATTAGCACTTAATTGCAAGTCACCCTGATTTATATCACACTAGAGATAGGTGATATGGCGGCAAGCACTAAGTCTAGCTCGGTGTCCTTGGACTTCCGTCTACGATTCTACTATTCAAAGGCATCGCTACCCTCGACTTACTTTTAAAAGATCGCGAGTTTATTAGTTCGGAAGAATGAGGATCCTAAAATGTTCTTGAAATTTGATCCATTTGTTCTTCCATACAACATGCAGCGAAAATTTCAAGGAGATTGCTATAACGAAGGACCTTTAATCCATCTATCCTCATGTCCAGAGATTCATAACTTCATTCGTCCAAATAACCCATTTAGCCTATACTCTATTTAAACTCCGTCCAAATACCTGCAACAAAGAAAGTTGATTATTCCATGGCGACGTCCTTGTCCCCTGCCAAATCCTCCGAAAGTCCATCCGAGATGGGGTCCCAAGTCCTCGCACTTCTTGGCCACATTCTCTTGTACAAACTAACTCCCACAGCATCTTGAGGATTGATCTTGCCATCGAATGTAGCCTTGAAATATCCATGGGTACCCAAGCTCTCCTTGATGAAGCCACTTCTTCCTCTCTTAGTCCACAATTGAAGTGCTTTGAACCATTCGACATCTTCACGATTAAAGAACATGTAGCGGACAGTAACGAGTCTCTTGTGAATTTTGTAAGGGTGTCCAGTTAAAATGATACGTTTAGCAATAATTCGAGAGGTAGAAGGTGGCAATGATGTGCCAGTACCAATTAAAAGAAGAGGTGCGGAAGATGGTGCAGTCTCAGAAGGTCTTTTGAAGAAAACAGTTGGTATGGAGCCCCATGAAAGGGGACCGATAAAGGAGGCGACAGTCGATTGACCAGGGTGAAGGAATCGATCAAATTTGTGAACGTCATTAGGAGTGTTGCCACCTTGAGAGAAAAGGGGGTTGACAACGAAGCGGCGAGGTCCGCACTGCACAATCATCTCGTCCTTGGATTTGATGGGCGATGGATAGTCTGAGCTGAGAGTGAAGTTGATGTTTAAAACAGCCCGTTTGTGCTCGTGACGGAGGAGTGAGAATGCGCTTAGAGGCTGAGAAGCATTGTACGTTGATTGCAACGAAGTGGGTACGTTGCGAAGGTGAATATGAACTCGAGTTCCTGCAGCTACTCCACCGACCAAGGCCTCACGAGTGACTTGACTACGAGATGATTTGTAGTCAGACACTTGAAGTAGACGTCTCCAATCTTCTGGCTCATATGCTCTGTCTTCAGCTTCCTCCCATGGACTAGTGCGCAGACTCTTTAGACCACGAAATTTAGCAAGACGTTCACGTGCTAAAACATTCGGGTGAAGCTCGATTTCATCCGGAAATTCACGATCTTCTGCTGCCTCGTCCGTTTTACGGCCTCTGAACGCGGCTAGTTGTTCCGCCTCGGCTTCATCATCTGGATTAGGGTCCAAAAACATTTCTGATTGTGGGTATTCTGATGGCGCAGCTTCTGTAGGCTCTCTTGGCGCAAACCCTTCGGCTCCGTCTTGAGGGAGGGCTGGAGTATCCATCGTCATTTCTTCTTCAAAGTCTTCCATATCAGAGCCCGAATCCGAGAAATGGTCTCCGAGGAACCATGCTGATTGATAGTTGGAAGTACCTTTGGGAAGTCGTTTTGGTACAGCCGGTAGATGTGTCTCATCATCAGAGAAGTAGTGGTGATCATCAAGAAGTACTCCCCGCTTTTCCGTTGGGGCTACCGACATGGTGGCATCCTCATCGTCCTCCATAATCACCTCCTCAGGTGCAAGTTCTGCAAGATCATCCCGATCTTCACCTGGTGTTTCAAGGATGATCTCATTATTAGATTCATCCGTAGCCATTTCATCCGTGCGTCTCTTTTTGGAGGCCAATGGTGCAGCCGTTATCTTCTCGATCTGGAAATCGCCCCAGTCGCCAACTGAGATTAATCTATCTGCTTTCAATCCCTTGCCTCTGACAAAACCAGTCAGTACCACATTTTCCTGTTCGTTCGTTGGCCATTGAACTTCATCAATAAGCATCCAACTTCTTTCTTCTCTCCATCGAATTCCTTTCGGGGCCAATGTGCACAATGATCTCATGAGATTGGCACATTCTTGCCTCGAGTCTAGGTTGTGCACCTTTTCTTGATCTGGATGAAAATGCTGAACGTAGGATTTGAGTGAAGAAAGAACCCCTGATCTCAGTTTGGGTGGCTCAATTTTATCCAGTCCTTGAACGACTGTCAAAGTAGTCGACAATCCTTGGCTTTCAACACTGCGGATAATGAGTTCCCCTAACTCATCCACTTCTTGTTCTGCTGACATGATGAAAACTACAAAGTCTGCCACTCTACTGGCATTCATGCAGCTGAATAACTCCTTCTTGGTAATAACGTATTGAACTTTCTGCTTGAATCTGTCGATATCGGCACGGATAATTCCTTCTTCTGGCACATCAATCTCAACGTCCAAACTACCTGTTAAACTTCGTACTGCGGCTGCAGCATTTGCGTCATCGCATAGTGGAACGAGAGCGACAATTCTTGGTGCGCCATCGCGACCTTGAAAAACATTCAAATCCCTTTGATGTTCCTTATGTTTTGTATTTTGCTTTTGGCGGGCTTGATTCCGACGGTCAAATTTTGACATTAGTTGCTGGTGAGGAGATTTTCGATGACTTAAATCTTGGACCTTGCCTGCGAAAATTAGTATTTCTCCATTTTATGAAGGAAAATGCGCTGACCTTTTGACAATTCCTTCAATGCACCTTTCGAAGCTTTTCTTGATTTGAATGCTTTATGAGTTGTTTTTGTTGTACTCCTATGGGAGTGTCCAGTAGGAGTTGGAGCCATGTTACCGTTGCTTCCGGCCCTGAATCTAAAAGGAAGGGAAGCCAGTTTGGAAAATTCAAACGCCTGGGTAATTTTCCAATTTTCCAAATTTTCGACTCACCAAATCAAATTAATTTGAATTCGGATCGAAATGTTTTAAGGTGGGGGTTTAGGGACTTTTTTTTGTGCGCTAAGTTGTTCTTATCGCTTATCGGAAGGGTCTTGGCATAGAAAAGTTCTAGCAGAGGTCACAAATATTTCATTTTGCGCGCTCCTGGAACAATCGAAACACCGCAAAGTCAACTTGTTACATCAACATGGCAGATACAATGGAATTAACAGAATCCCATCTTAATGGGGCACTGCCGATCAAACGAGCGAGGACAGAGCTAGCCACTACCGAATCAGAATCGCAATCACAGCTACGCCGCCGCAAGGAAGCCAATAAAGCATATGGTCGAGGAGGAAAGATTCCCATACACTCGATCAAGGATAAAAAGCTACGAGGAAATCTCAAAAAGCTCGAGGCCCGGAACAAAACCGCAATACTTAGAGCAAAGGATGCCGAGATCCTGCTCGAAAACGAAGATGGATTTTTAGAACCGGAAAATGATTTGGAACGAACATACAAGGTCCGACAAGATGAAATCAAACAGAGCGTACCTCTCGAGACAGCCAAAAAAGGCTTTGAACTTAAGTTGGATCAGTTAGGTCCCTATGTATGTGACTACACAAGGAATGGCAAGGACCTTCTATTGGCTGGCAGAAAAGGCCATGTCGCGACAATGGATTGGAGAGAGGGAAAATTGGGATGTGAATTACAACTGGGAGAAACTATCAGAGACGCGAAATGGCTGCATAACAACCAGCTATTTGCCGTTGCGCAAAAGAAATATGTTTATATATATGATGGAGCAGGAGTAGAAGTGCACTGTTTGAAGAAACATATCGAGGTTACGAATATGGAATTTCTTCCTTACCACTACCTTTTAGCTACTGTGGTATGTAACAACAGCTCGTTTAGCTGCGCATAACTAACTTTTGTAGGGCAATGCGGGACACTTAAAATACCAAGACGTCTCAACTGGTCAAATGGTAATGGAGATGCCCACGAAGTTGGGTTCGCCCACTTCCCTCGCACAAAACCCTCGAAATGCGATTCTTCACATGGGTCATCAAAATGGAACAGTCACATTATGGTCACCCAATTCCACTACGCCACTAGTCAAGCTATTGGCGCATCGTGGTCCAGTACGATCATTGGCTGTTGACAGAGAGGGTAGATACATGGTTTCTACTGGGCAAGACATGAAGATGTCTGTCTGGGATGTTAGAATGTTCAAGGAGGTAAATAGCTATTTTACACGACAGCCGGCTTCGTCAGTTGCTATATCCGATCGGGGATTAACAGCTGTCGGCTGGGGCACTCAGGTCTCAATTTGGAAAGGCCTTTTTTCCAAAAGCTCTTTAGAACAAGAGAAGATACAAAGCCCGTACATGGCATGGGGTTGCGAAGGAAAGCGAATTGAGCGTGTTCGCTGGTGTCCATTTGAGGATGTGTTAGGAACTTCCCATGATTCCGGGTTCTCGTCTATATTGGTGCCAGGTGCTGGTGAGGCCAACTTTGATGCTTTGGAAGTCAATCCATTTGAAACCACCAAGCAACGACAAGAAGCTGAAGTGAAGTCGTTACTCAACAAGCTGCAGCCCGAGATGATCTCACTAGACCCTAACTATATTGGTAATTTGGATCTGAGATCGGATGAGCAGAGGAAGGCTGAGAAAGACCTGGACAAAAAGCCAGAAGATCCAATGGCTAAAATCAAGAATAGGGGTAGAGGAAAGAACAGTAGCTTGAGGAAGTATCTAAGAAAGAAGAGCTCCAGGGGTATAATCGATGAGCAGAGGGATAGGATCGAAGAGCTGAGAAAGAGTCAGATGCAAAGGGAGAAGAACAGGTTAAAAACTACTGAGGAGGAACTTGGGCCAGCTCTTGGTCGTTTCGCAAAAAAAAGTGCTTAGAATAATTTGGGGCATGTTGTTGATATTATACACTACTGTACAAGGCGCTTCGAGGTATAGTACAGTCATGGGAAACTCTGTGGCGCTTGGCGTTTGAAGGCACTTATAAGGCGTCATGTGTTACTTGTAAAGGAGAGTGAGGTTCGTTCAGTTGCTAAGTAATAAGATTTTATTCTGCTGAAAACACCCATGGGGTCATCTCCTACGGCAAAAATGAATACCCACGGTTTATCTCGCGTAGGACAAGATTCACCATCTTAGTCCGCAATGCATTTAGCTTTCTTTACTTCAGTTGTTCCAAGCCCTCTGTGGCTCTTGGGCCGCCCCTTTCTTTGCTGACTCTCTCTGCACCACTACCCCTCCACGCACTCTCAATTAAGCCTACAATATGTTCCATTCCGACGCCGCTCTTGACCTGAGCAAAAACAGTTGGGCCTCCTTCCCTCATCTTTCTGGCGTCTCTATCCATCACATCCAAATCTGCGCCCACAGCTTCCGCCAAATCTGTCTTGTTCACCACCAACAGATCACTTTGAGTAATTCCTGGACCGCCCTTCCTCGGAATCTTGTCTCCGCCACTGACGTCAATCACGTAGATGATGTAATCAGCCAGCTCTCTAGAATAATTTGCCGCCAAGTTATCACCTCCGGATTCAATGAGTAAAATGTCGGAAGTGAATTCACGGTGCAGATCTTCGAGAGCAGCAAGGTTCGCTGAAATATCTTCACGAACAGCGGCATGCGGGCATCCGCCAGTTTCAATGGCACGGATACGTGATGCAGGAAGAGCTTTGTGTTTGGTGAGGAACTCAGCGTCCTCTCGAGTAAAGATATCATTGGTAACGGCTGCGATTGAGTATTTTTCTCTGAGGGCATTACAGAGTGCTAACATCAATGCTGTCTTGCCTGAGCCTACAGGTCTGCATCATTGTTAGCAAACGTATAATCTATGATCCCCCGCCGAGTATCAGAGCAACTTAAGATGACATGGAGACATCCATGAATGAGCATTGGGAATAAAAATGATAAGGTTCAGCACGTGATTTGCGCTTCTAGCTCATGGCGGGGTGTTTGGTGAACATGGAAACAGGGAAAACACGTACCCTCCAATACCAACGGTAAAAGCTCTTTCGGACCAATTCCTACCTTCTATGATTGGCATTTCTCGACCCATGAAACTACCTGGCCCATCAAGAATCTCATGAGTGTGTCCATGGTCACCAGCTGGTTGATGGTGAGAGTGGGATGGACCTCCGTCGTGGGAATGAGACATGATGAAATTGTGGTATTAATAAATATCAGAATGGAACGTGAAGAACACAAATGAGTGGTATGATAGCCTCTTTTTGATATTCTCAATAAATGGGGGAATTTTGTACAGTGTAGTGATCTTTGACAACAGCGAAATGTTCCACTTGACAAAGGTTAAAAAGTAAACAGTTCTACAAAGAGAGAGACTGCAATGCACCCCTCTATCTTTCGCTTGTTTCAATTACTATTACTGTCCAAAACTGTGCAAACGGAACATAAACAGTCAACTAATAATTTGAAACCCACGAACCATATGCTTCCATTTATTGATAATATCGATAGTTACGACGATCCCCATACTTTGATATGTCTTACTTACTTGACCTGATCCATAATTCATATGTATGATAATACCCACTAGCAAGTGAATGGATGGATTATTTCATTTCACGTGATTTGATTTTGCAATGACTCAATATCACACGTTGAAAAAAATGCCCCGCCAAATTTAGCGTCATGACACGGATAGGGAGTGATATAAAACCCCCACCATCCGACACCATTTAATTTCTGTTCCCTTAAGGTGCGTTCCGTCTCCACATCACTTTACACATAGAGTGTGGGAAAGTCTTCTAACAGATCATAGGCATACGAATTCTTCTCGAGGAAACGTGTATTTACTTGTTGCTTTCATCAATTGCTCCAAAGTTTCAATTTAGACGCGATTGCAGTCAATCCTAGCATTCGGCTACTAAATAAAAGGAATTCCAACGAATAAAGATGGCGACTGTTGTACTCGGTGCTCAATGGGTGGGTGCATTCTGCGAAGATCTGCGGAGAAAAAATACTAATGCGTAAGTCTAGGGAGACGAGGGAAAGGTATGGCACATTGGGTTGAAGAAACTCCACATTCAGGAATTCAACTGAGGGTGAACTAGGGGAAACTTGTCGATGTTCTTTGCAGTGAGGATTTAAGATTGTGCTGCCGTGCACAGGTAAGTCTACGGCAAATTCTCTAGCAAATACTCAAGCGATACGTGACTAATATCTCATGAAACAGGGTGGAAACAATGCAGGGTAAATTGATGGGAAGAAAGATACCGGTGCAACCCTTTTACTGACAATCTCAGGCATACAATTGTGGCGGATGGAGTGACATAGTGAGTCTACCTCAAGAGCATGTTACCCTGGAGACTTGATCGGATTTGTTCTGGATAATTGACTGAAAGATTTCGAACAGTGACTTTCATATTTTACCTAGCGGTCTTCTCAATAAAAAATGTCAGAATCTTGTAGGAAGTGGATGCGTGGTCCACATTCCCGGCCTTCTGAAAGAGCTTGCCGCGATCGAGGACAAGATTCCAGACGCCAGAGGGCGACTGTCGATCAGTGACAGATGCCAGTAGGTTTTACGCTCTCGGGCATGATTGTGCAACTCTGACAATAAATCACAGTGTCGTTCTTGATCTCCACCAGAAATTGGACGGACTCGAAGAGGCTGAACTTGGTGGTGGTAAAATCGGTACCACTGGTAAAGGTAATATACACTTGGGCTTACGTTGAAGATACCTTATCCTGATAAATTCTAGGAATTGGCCCTTGCTATTCGACTAAAATGGCCAGAAGTGGTGTCAGAATCGCCGACATCTTCCGAGAGAGTTACTTCGAGGAGAAGGTTCGAAACATGGCAGCTGGTGCCAAGAAGAGATTCGGGGACTTGTTGCAGTATGATGTCGAGGAAGAGCTTACCAGATTCAAGGTATTTCTTGTAAACCCTTTTTCACCACACCTTTGTTGACATCTTCCCAGACTTACAGAGCTGAACTAGCGAGTATGGTTGTTGACCAACTGCCACTACTCGTCTCTGCACAGCAATCGAACGCGCCTATGCTAATTGAGGGCGCAAATGCTATTATGTTGGACATTGATGCTGGTACATATCCTTTTGTAACAAGTTCAAATACAGGTCTTGGTGGTGTGTTTACTGGTCTCAGCGGCTTGAACCCATTTAAAGTCAAGAACGTTTACGGAGTAGTGAAAGCCTATACTACACGTGTTGGTGGTGGTCCATTCCCAACAGAAGATCTGGGAGAGGTCGGTAACACATTGCAAGAAGTCGGCAGAGAGTTTGGTGTGACGACTGGTCGTCGGAGAAGATGCGGATGGTTGGATCTAGTGGTCGTCAAATACTCGACAGCTATCAACAATTACACCGCCATCAATCTCACGAAACTCGACATTCTTGATTCTTTCTCAGAAATTAAGGTTGCCGTCGCATATCGCGATCCCGCAACAGGCGAGAGATTAGAATCATTCCCTGCCGATCTCGAAAGATTGGAGACACTCGAGCCAGAGTATGTTACCCTGCCAGGCTGGAACAAACCCACTACTGGTTGTCATAGCTACTACGATCTTCCAGCTGCATGTCGCAATTACTGCGAGTTCATTGAGAAGGACGTTGGCGTTCCGATTAAGTTCATTGGCATTGGTGAGTTTTTCTGTAATCATCTCCTAAATAATAAGATGACTAATCTCAAAGCTACAGGCCCTTCGAGGGATGATATGATCACGAAGTAGATTATGTATCCTTCCCTCCGCCTTTCGCGAGTACCCCTGTATATCCTTGACGGTAAAAAAAGATAGACCTTGGTAGCAGTAGATAAACACTACAATTTTAGCTTTATTTCGAAATTTGTTCATTTATTCTGGTCTAGATACGTCCTAGTCATTGCAAAGGCATTACGTCCACTTCTAGCAGAAGAAGCAAACCGGAGAGTATGACAGGAGATTGTTTCCGCATCCAATTTTGTTCAAAAACCATCGTTATTTCCGATTAAAAGTGCAAATATGAGTGGCTTTCCATTGTGGAATGTTCAATTACAGTCAAAATGTCATAGATTTTCTAATCTTTCAGGTGTTCAAACACGACCTGTTAGCCCTGCTGGTGGATACACCGTTTGGCATCCGCCGAACTATTTAACATGCTTGACGGTGATCTTGACACCGTTCTTAGTTTCCACACTCATAGTAACATGTTCAAGGTATTCGAAGATCTGCATACGGAGTTCGTAGGGATTCTATGTCATCTTGTCCATCTCTTCAAAAGGAATATATCTTTTGGTATCTGTTCCTTTGTCTGGGTTCCGCTGCTTGTCTAAGGCTGATATCACACGTTGTCAACGAATGTGTGGATGTTGGTGTAGGCTTCTTTCTTTCCAGCAAGGATCGAAGTAAAATGCCAGTCCAGAAGAGGCCGATCAGACAATTTCATGGACACGTCTGTCTCGAGGTGTTTGTTCAGTGAGGCATTCTGTCAATGTATTCCGGTACTACAAAAGTCGGGGCGGTCAGTTTATTGCTTCATCCATATTTGATCTATTTATAGGGGTTCACTAAATGTCCCAGCTACATAAGTCGTAATCGATGATTCAGTCAGTGCTAGATCAGAGCCAGATTTGCGGTTGCCTCCACTGTGTTTGGTAAGTAAAGATCAGACAAGTTGCAAACTCATCTCACAAAAGGAAACCACAATATTAAAGGTCAAATACTCGGCTTTAGTCATCATTCCCTTGTCTATATCTAGCACTGTGTTTTCGAACTCTCTTCTCCATACTCTGAAACATTTATCTGATATATCCTTCAAACATTTCAAACATTCCAATTAGCTATCTCAGAGATTAGTGATGATCTTTTCACCCTGCTGCATCCACCAGTGCAGGAGCTTGTCCGGAAGTCACCCTTTTTCTTTTCTGTATGATGGTATAATGAGCCGTTTTGCTGGTTATGGATCTTCAAGTCACAAACTATAGTCCCTGATATTTATTCAATACACCTTAGTCTACCTCGTAGCTGTATTAAGACTCGTCATCGAGACGGTAATTAACGCCGATGCTTGATCTGAAATCGTGAATGGCCATCTAGATGTATCATTTCTTCGTTGAGAGACATTAGCATTCTGTGTCGACTAGAGCTCGTTTTATTTTGGCTGTTTTCTCAATTTTTGGCTCGGAATTGAATGTAAAGCTGGTAGGTCTTTGGATTACCAAAGTAGTAGGTTCATATGGTTGATGGAAATTGGGAGTTGAGACAGTTGCAGTAGAAAAAGGCAGACGAATTAAATGAAGATATCAACGTATCCATATTGTACGACATAGAAGACTATTGATATAATTAACAGAAGAAACTAAGGCTTGATCACGCCGAATATTTTGGACTAGTCGCCAATTAGAAGTCTTTGGATTAGAAGTTTGCGTAGTCTGGGTAATTCGTCCAAAAACCCCTCCAAATTTGTTATGCATATTCAGCTTATCCCCAAGTCCTTGGAGAGATCTCCTTTTGGAAAGATTTCCGAGCGCGCAGATAATCTGAAATTGAGCGTAATGCCATACCTGCGCAACAGGAAAATACCAGATAAAACTCCCAAGTGAAGGGCTTTATAAGATCTTTGATCTTTCTTAATTCTCACCAGCTTCGATTAATACTGTTCTCTTTGAATGAATGTATTAATTTGTCACCCCGACCATTATAACCACCAAAACACCTGATGCGCACCTATTTCTCCCAACCCAAAGGTACAGTAACACAAAATGTCCATTGCTTATCAAAATGTCACCACAACATAACCGCAGCATCAGAATATTTGTCTCCCCAGACTTGGCACATACAAATCAGCGAAGCGATCCGACGAATGAGCCCAACGGAACGGTTCAAACCCCTCATGATCGTAAGATGATAAAATCCAAACTCGCATGCCATTATGCTCCTCTTCCGAGCAAAACCACGAGTTTCTATGCAGCCAAGGATTCCAAGATCTAGTGTTTGCGAATAGGTAATTTCCGTATGCTGTGTTGGAATGGTAAGGCCCGAGGTGACACGTCTCTTTGTACCTACTGGAATAAATATATTCATGTAAGGTTACTCATCTCATGTCCCATAGATTAAACATGACATGCTTGTCAATTCACTTTCCAGTCTGTCAATTCAATACCCCGCTCTTCCGTCTCTTTTAATGAAGACTTTCTATCCCTATGTCTTCCTGAACGATTAAGCCTTAAGTTAATCCAGTTTCAATCCACTGCATTATGAACAATGAGTAAATTATCTACACCTCCATCTAGCAGTATCGATGCCATGGAACCCGAGAAAGTCGAGCGCGTCGCAACGCAGGATAAAGTGCCCGGTCATAGTAATTACTATGAGAAGAATGGACTGCGTGCATACGGCGATGATGAAGATCATTATCACGAACCTAAAGTATGTTGTTCATCACCAGAGAATTATTTTGTTGGTTTATTGAGGAAGAGTAGATGTCGTTTCGACGTTTTATGAGTCTGGTCGCAATGGCTTTTTTGTGGACTGGTTCACAGATTCCTGTTTATATTTTCGGTAGGTTGAGATCTGTGCATGCGGTTTAGGATGTAGGAGCTAAATTTCTGGGTTCAGGCGCCATTCCACCTTATATTTATTCTGACCTTGGTGGAACAGATAGGTGAGTAATCTGATGTCTAAATCTAAATCTCATGTGAATTTTTTGAGACGAATTGAGTCGTTCATGACTCTAATCGGATATATGTAGGTGGATATGGTTTGTCCTCGCAAATCTCCTTGCTTTAGCGGGAGTATGTCCATTTGTCGGAAGTCTCTCTGATCTCCTCGGGCGCCGTTATGTCGCACTCCTAGGAGCTGTATTTGTTGCCATTGGTATGATAGTTTGTTCAACCGCTCAGACTATGAATACATTTATTGGTAAGTCTCAATTGTGTTCGGCTAGCGTGGTTTTATAACTAAGCTAATGCGGGAATAAAGGAGGAATGGCTATTGCGGGAATTGGAGCTGGCATTAATGAGTAAGTGTTCTAGCCGCGCTTTTTTTTTTTTTTCTGGTATCAGAGGGTAGGCAAGGCACAAGCTTATATTAGCCAGACTCACTGCTTTAGCTGCAACATCCGAGTTAGCACCTACCTCAAAACGTGGAACCTACGTCGCCGTCCTCGTTTTCACCATCATTCCATTTTGTCCCTCAGTTTTGTGGGGCCAACTCATCGCCTCGCATGCAGGATGGCGTTGGTGCGGATTGCTATGTGGAGTATGGGCTTTCATCGGCTTTGTCCTTACTCTGGTGTTCTACTTTCCTCCTCCTCGAGTCAACTCGCTGGGTCTATCCAACAGGGAAATCATACAACAAATTGACTTTGTGGGGGGATTCTTGAGCATAGCAGGAATGATCTTATTTATGGCTGGTATGCAATGGGGTGGCTATCAATACGAATGGACTTCAGCGCATGTCCTGGTCCCTTTAATCTTAGGCGCGGTCTTGCTGGCTGCTTTCTGTTGCTGGGAGGTGTATGGGGCGAAGTATCCGATGTTTCCATCTCGTCTGAACAAAGCACCGAGAATTCTGGCCTTGACACTTGTCATAACGTTCATATCTGGTGCTAATTTTGTAGATATATCCTTTCATTTTCCACTAAAATTCTTCCTTGAGAAATATGCTGACCAATCTAGTTTAGCATTATCATGTTCTGGCCTACTCAGGCCTTCAATGTATATGGGCATGATCCTGTTGGTGTGGGTATCAGAGGAATACCAGTTGGCTTCTCAATTCTAGCCGGAGCTTGTATCGCGTTGTGGTTACTAAGTGTGCTACGAGGTAGAAATAAGGAATTGATGATTGCAAGTTCGATATTAATGACAGCCGGTATGTCAATCTCAAAAGGGCTATAGTCTGAACGGGCGACTTCAACTTTAATTTCACTAATCAAATAACTTTTAGGATGTGGTGCCCTTGCATGCGCCAATAGATACAACCTATCAACATTATGGATTTTGCTCATCATCGCTGGATTGGGAATCGGTGGAATTGTCGTGCCAGCTTCGATAATAACCACGATAATATGTCCCGACGACTTGATCGCAACCGTTACTGCCCTTACCCTCTCCATCCGAGTTATCGGTGGCAGTATAGGTTATTGTGTCTACTACAACATCTTCGTAAGCAAATTTATTCCTGCTGCCACGTTGCATATTGGAGGCCTGATGGCTCGAGAACTCCATATCAGAAACAGAACTCTTATTCATGAAGCCATTGAGTATACAGCTCATGCTCTACTGCCACTGCTCAAGACCATTCCAGGTATTGCCGGGAATGAAACTGCGTATCAGATGGTTGTGATCGCAGGACAGGAGGCATATGCTGAAAGCTATGTTTACGTGTACTATGCGAGCACGGCATTTGGGGCTGTGAGCATTTTGGCGGCGTGTTTTCTGGGTGATATCAATGCATATATGGATGACCATGTAGCTGTGGTAATGCATTGAGGTCTTGTACAGGTACTGGAAATGGTGTTCGGTGGATAACATTTGGTCATGAGAGATAACTGATCAAGACATGGTTTCATCGTGGTGAATGTAATACAACCTGGTTGCATTCAATCGTGTGAGTATTCAACAATAGTTCCCGATTTCAGCCGTTGGATGTGTAAAATATTTCGATTACATTTGAATGTGAATATTGTTACTTGATAACCTGAAGACATAAGATTCAGTCTTCATATAGACATTGAACATTGAGATACCTCTTGATCAATAAAAGGTAGAATGCTGCACTTGCGAGGCGTGGATGTTTTCGTAAAGAATGTGCGATCCTAAATCTGGAACTGCAAATTTTGACTCTTCCCTTGTTCTTCCCCACTTCGCAACAGCTTTTCCAAGATTTCCAAATCAGCAAGAGCTTCCTCTGGGGATTGTCTAGTATCAGGCTTTTTGTCCACAATACTTTGCGCCCAAGCAGCAACCTCCTGCTTCACTCCACTTCCCTCTTCCGTGAACTCAACCTCTGTAAAGTTCTTTTCGTTCTCTTCGCCCTTGCGTACAATGACCTTGCTTCTGATGACTGTAACGCTACCATCCTCACAAGCTACTGTGTATTCGGGACCAGAAAGAGTGGTACCGAAGGAAACACTGAATGTGCCTGATACTCCAGAATTTGTGAGCCATACTGAATTTATCGTGTCAACAGGTGGCAGATGTTCGCGAAGAAGTGTACTGAACGCTACAACGGATGTCGGTCTTGCAGCCCCACCCAAGAGCAATCTTCCGGCTGCCGTGAAATGCACACCTCCATCGAGTAAAAAGCCGCCTTGGTAATCCGGCTTCTTGCGCCATTCAGTTTCTTCCACAACTGTTAATTCCTGCAACGACATCGCTGAAACGGGAATGGCATACCGTAGTACTTAGATCCTTGCTTAACATTTCCAAAAGATTGCATACGAAACCCCAAGACTCTTCCTAGTTTTTCTATTTCCTTCCTCGCATGGATGAACGAATCCAAGAATCGGAAATTCTCAGCCACGCTCCATGTAGTCCCATCCTTTACTTTATCGCTCTTATAATATTCTAGCAAGCGTTGCGCGCGCTCTAAGTCTCCTGCAATCGGTTTCTCGGATAGGACATGTTTGCCCGCTGCGAGAGCTGCTTCGATGTATTCTGGCTGGACGAGAATTGGAAGAGCAATTATCACAGCATGTATGTCAGAACGAAGAAGGAGGTCGTGGTATGTTTTTCCAACACCTGAGTCGTCGGAATAGAGAGGAACATCGACATTTAATGATTGTGCGGATGAGAGAGAACGGGAGTATATAGCTTTGAGGGACAAAAGAGGGGTAGCTTGGACTGCTGGCTAGACCGTGATATTAGTGAGCCGTATAAGGGAAACTTTGCAGGTGGAGTATACCAGGTGCTCTGTCTGAGCAAATATGCCAGAACCAATGATTGCGACGCCGATTGACATTTTGTGTGTATGCTCTCGTCTGGTGAGATATTTGCACACTTTTGTAGGAGCAGATATTATCATTTACGTCATTTTGAAGGTAGCTCCGTGCCAAGCAATGGACGGTAGGTTACACCATCTTTTGATAGAAATGTAACCTCAATGGATGATGATCTATGGCATCACCGAAGCACAGCAGTACCATATATCAGTTTGAACAGCTGGTAGTAGGGGAAGTAATCTAAAATGCAACCAGATCAGCCAGGGCACAGATTTTCATAGTTCGCGTCGCACAAACACCAAGAATGTTTCCAAGAAGCTATTCATCCTCATCAATCCGATTGTAGTCCACTCAAAAAATTGATTCCAAAGTCATTTCATTTCTTAAAATCCTTTTGTCTCGCTGTGGCACCTAACCTCAATTCATGAGATAACCTGAGATAAATCTCAAAATTGGAACTTAAAATGCCATACCCTGTCTCCTTTCCAATATCAGATTAATTCTATTCTATTCAATCAATCCATTGTAATCTTCGTTTTTCACTTCAATCAGTTGTTTTTACAATTTGAACAGGTGAAAAAAAAATCTTGTTTATTTATTTTTACTATCTCAAAATCACTTCTTTATTGATCGTTTATATATTAGGAATTTAAAGACTAAAGAGATTAAACAAATTTATAACATTACTATAAACTACAAGAAAAAAAGAAAGATGAATTTTCTTTGTTAAAAAAAGAGGAAAAAGGCATTTAATTAAATTATAATTTATTATATGCTTTTGTGTTGATATAAAATAATTTTATAATTTCTGAGAATTCTTTTAATTTATTTATATTTTGAATACAATGACTAGCCATCACTATCTTTTTCTTAGCTTTGTAAGAAACTGTAACGATACTGTACCAAAGGCAGCGGCTGCCTAAGGTTCGTCGGTTGGTAGTTATAGGTTAAGGCTTTATCACTGGTATTCACTTGAAAGTGAATTCGTTACTAGATCAAATAGAATGTAGGTAAACTAATTGATAACTAAGTTGAGCACGAAGCTCCTAAACTATGAAACTACTCTGACTATATAATGATCGATAAAGGGAGCCCCCAGGAGCTTTGAAGGCTCCTAGGGCTCCTTATCACGTGATTCCTTTTAGATCCCAGGACACTAATCCTAATGGCGAATCGTGACATCAAGTTCCAAAAGGCCATTCCTTCAGCCATATCTCTTTCTCCTCTTCGCTTCTTGCAAATTCCTCAATGACCTGGTCCTTCATTTGCTCCAACGCATCTAAAGCTTCTTCATATTGGTCTGGTCTTACTATTCCTTGCTCAGGAAATAACTCACCAATACTCTCTTTAATTGACTCCATCGCCTCCATACCACGCATTACACATTCCACATTAGCCTCCATTATTTGCCGCTCTTTGCTTGAAAATAAGAACGGATAAACTGAAGTTTTGGCTCCTGGAAGTGTGTCCCATATGGCTCCTAACTCTAAAACTTTTGAAAGATATGATGTCTCGCCATCGATGAGGAGAATTGCGTGCTAAGAGTAGGGTTAGATAACTCGTTGTTTGCTGGAACTCAAGCGCAGCATAAATTTGTGGATTTTTATGGTGAGTTAAAGTATTGTAAAGGGAGTACAGGATCTCTGTAAATACAAAGTCTGTGCATGTTTCTTTGTGTTTTTATCTAGCTGTTCTATATCTTTTGGTAGCTGGGGCCGCTCTAAGCCAAATACAGGCGAACCGTTGTAATCGATAATATGAGGTTGGCGGGCGTGGAAGTAAAGAGGGGATAGCTCAGAAGATTGCCAATCTATAAGGCCTACAATTTCGGTATGTTTGGAAGGGTTTACAAATATGTTAGCAGCGTGTAGATCGCCATGCCAAAGATGCGATGATGCAATAGATTGATCTGTAGGAAGGCGAAACTCCATCAGCTTGAGATAGCAATGTAAAGCATCAAGCTTTCTTTCTCTTGTTGGTTGATAGGTCCTGGGGCCACAGAGGGTTACTGGAGACTTACGCGGCTAGGGAGCTGATTGACGCAAGCTATTTCTCGAAGCCCAATGGCAGTGTGGTACTCCTTTAAATTGACCCCTTATATCCATTAGTTATATAAGTCCTGGCTTCAGCATAGAAAATTTTACATGGACCTCTATCAAAATCAATAGTTGATCTTCCGTTATCAACTAATTAGCGTCCTGTAGATGGAACAATAGCAAATTTGGAATTCATGGTATCAATTCCATGTACATCGGTATACAAGGGCTCATTTCCGGTTCGTTCCTCTAGATCTTTGGCATAATAAAGACTCCCAAATCTCTTGAAGGAAACCAGCAATGGCTTTGACAAGAGTAAATCTATCTTCAATTCCCATACTTGGCCAAAAATGTTCTAGCTCGATTCCTGAAACATTTTCCATGATAATATACTCTGCACCAACAGGATTCTCCTGGGCTTTTGAACTCCACGCAAAGACTTTGGGAATAGGAGTTCCAAGAACATCCCTTGCCTAAAATATATCAGTTGAAGTATCTGCATCCATTAATATCTAAACAAACATACAAAATCCATTGTTGCAACTTCGCTTGCAGTAGTAAAATGAGGCCTGCCAGCATTTGGATTTGGAACTTTCGCTACAACTTGAGTGCCATTGTCCATAGTGAGAAGCATAGCCTTATTGTACATGCCATCAGGAGACTTTTCAATGCTAACGCATAATTTTCCCCCGACAGCTTCTGCAGCGATACGGGCTAGCTCATTAACATTGAAACGGACATGGCGCTGTGACATCTCATATGCTTCATCACATACAAAGCGACCTCGAGTATAATTGAAAATATCGTCTCTGTACCTCAAATCTAATTTGATGAACAGCACGGTCAAAGTTTTCAAGACGGGATAAACTGACCAGGAAGCAGCACTTGTGAGATCAGCCGACTGGACTGGGTGACTTTCGTTGCCATTGTCCTTCTGCTTAATACCTTGCGGAGGCGAGTGTATCTGATTAGAACAGTATCCATTTCCTGTAGTCTTACATAGCAGCTTTTGATCATGACTTTGACTGAATTGCAAATAAGTGAAGGTGTGTATCAAATAAAGCTTTGTTGACACATATGTGTGACTGAGACAGTTGTTTGTGCTACTGCCACGTGTTACTGTCTGTAGAAACGTAAGATTCTAAGGGGATGTGAAGCTTCAATAAGTCATACCATTAGTATTCGTATTGTTTTCCCTAAAGAAGTAGAACTATAACGAAGTATACAATAATTCGGTTCCCTGATGCCGAGGCACTAGCGTTAGCATTGCGTAGTCACTATCACGTGACAATTATCCCGATGGTTACAATATGATCTTGGATAAATACACCAGGTTCTATTTCTCAATAGATACTTCAGATAACTGTGACAGTCACAGAGAATACCACGATCTCCTATAGCCTACAACCAACCAGAAAGGTGATTCTCTTTTAGCTAAAGGGCTCATCTAGATCTTGTCGATCTCTATGATATACCGGATGATCCTGGTTTACCACTATTCAAAACTTAGTCTATTCAAGGTACTCATCAACTATCTATTTAGTATACACAGACCTCGATCAATAGGACTAAAGACAAATCATTCAACTCTATCTCCTCTGAGTGCTCTATAATTATATCATCTTGTAGGTAATGAAAGTAATTTTTTAATTTTCAAAATTCTACATAAAATTCTAAACGACTATATTTATAAATGAAGAATTTGAAAATACTGATTTTCGTCATTTTTAATACAGGTTAGTGTCCCGGAAGTAAAGTAGTTGACTTGTATTCCAAATAATTTGTGGCAATATCTGAATGTTTTTATATCACGATGTGTACACAAATCCATCGTTATCCCTAACCGTAGGTGGCTTTTGAAGTAGAGTCACACTGACCTGCAAGTTGATTAGTCCTACAGAGTAGTATAATCATGATTATACTATTACTGTTCAATTTGTCGGCCCTCATATGGGACTGATCAGAATGCATATAATATGTGCTGCTCAAAGTAAGATCTTATCATCAATAATATTAGTTTCATTCTCTTCCTCCGAGTACCATTTATCCTCTATATCAACTTTTAATCATGTTTGAGCTCTGCTTCCTTGTCATGGCGACTATCTTGAGCCTTGCCACAGCTAAGATCTGCACCAATATTACTATTCCAATCTCCATAAATGCTCGAAATGGCAATTTCAGTATTCCACCTCTTTCCGATGCCATTGCCGTGGCAAAATTTGCTCAGGACTTCTTGAGAAAAGGGCAAAATTATAGCGCATCTACAATGTCTGGCTACACCACCGTGACAGGCCAATATAACATTGCTGCAACAGTATGCTTACCAAGCGAATCGAGTAATTACTCTGGTACGTGGCAATTCCTCACTCATGGGGTTGGCTACGATAGATCGTAAGTACATTGAATCACTTTATGTATATAAGTACTGATATATATAGGTATTGGGATTTGCCATTCAATAACCACAACTACTCATATGTAGATGTTGCAGTTGATCAGTATGGCTACAGTACTTTAGCTATTGATCGGTTGGGGATAGGAGAATCCTCAAAAGCTGACCCTATTTCGATCATACAAGTTCCTACTGAACTTTCAGCCATCGTAGAAGTGACAAACCTATTACGTGCAGGCAGTTTGCCGGGTGTCAGCATCTCCAAGCCGAACAAGCTTGTCCACGTTGGTCATTCTTTCGGCTCAGCTCTATCATATGAACTCGTTTCCGCACACCCAGAAATCACAGATGGACTTATACTCCAAGGATTTTCCATCGATAGCTCAGGGCTACCTCAAACAATCGCAGCATTCAACATCCAATACGCATCCGTAAATCAACCTTATAAATTCGGACCCCCATCTTTTGAATCCCTATCCAATGAAACATTATCTCAACTCCAAAGCGCACTCAGCAAAATAGGATCTTTCTATACCGCGGGCTCCAACCACGATACCGGTAATATCTACGCACAAGACCTCCCTAACGGCTATCTCACATGGGCCAACCTTGGCTCCAACCAATTTGCCTTCTTTGCACCACCATATTACGATCCCGCCATTGCAGAATACACAGAACAACATAAAGAGCCCTTTACGACCGGGGAGCTCCTAACAATGGCCGGTCAGCCATCTTCCGCACCCGAGTTCACGGGACCAGTATTGATTTTGACGGGAAATGAAGATGAGATTTTTTGTGGAGGGAATTGTTCTCAGACTGGTGCTAATAGTGCGCCGAATATACCTGCACAGGCAGCTGTGGTATTTCCGAAAGCGAGGGCTTTTGTTCCGTATATTCAGCCTAGGTGTGGACATGCTGTCAATGTTCATTTTAATTCTTCGGGAGCGTATAGAGTTATGAATGAATTTTTGCGGGATCAGGGGCTTTAGGTTGGTGAAGGGATGGGGATGGGGATTGGAAGAGAAGGGAAAAGGGAAAGAGAGAAAAAGTATTACTGATGGTGCTACGGAAAAGTGTTTTCATTTTGGGACTGCGGAGGGAGGGGAGAGATTATTTCTGGTTTATTGATTACTTCCTAATTTCCTGTCATCTTAATAGCTTGGAATAATACTAAGATTAACTTTCTCATTTTCCGTCTTTAATTTGGCTATTTGAACTCTCTCTTCAACTTAACTTCATAATACATTCGTCATATATAAAAATCATAAACAAGTAGGACCTCCCGCCACCTATAATCATTCATTAATGCCTACATTTTTGACCACGAATCCAAAATTGTTGCGACGTGAAGTGCACAACGGAAAGTCTAAAGTGATATTCATTTCAAAATCACAAATTGACACTCAATACCCAGAAAGAAGGCCAAGCTAGCTCGTTTAAAAAAGCGAGGGAAAAGACAAAAGAGAAAAAAAAAGGAGAAAAGATATATGATTTATATCCAAACATCTGAGAGAGTAAATATTAATAAGATCTTATAATCCATTAATGAATATTATGAAATCAACAGTAAATGAGAGATAAGTTGAAACTTACTTTACTGGTCATTATGATGCGGATTTTACGAGGTTTGCCGTCTAGATCATGTGGAAGTGCTCTAGGCTCTCGAGATGGTTTATAACTAGGCGTCAAGCAGGGACTTAAAGTAATGACAATAATGATATGCAATTTGTAACTAATAGTAGAGTATACTAAATGATTGATCTTGAACACGAAGCTTTATACAAAGAAAATCCATCTTGATTATATAGACCTTCATGTCTATGGCTAGTCAGGACCGCGCAGCGGTCCTGGACAGCCAGCGTTCCTGGACAGCCAGCGTTCCTGGACAGCCAGCGTTCCTGGACAGCCAGCGTTCCTGGACAGCCAGCGTTCCTGGACAGCCAGCGTTCCTGGACAGCCAGCGTTCCTGGACAGCCAGCGTTCCTGGACAGCCAGCGTTCCTGGACAGCCAGCGTTCCTCTGCGGTCCATAACGTGACTTAATCACGTTACCTTGGTTTAGTCATGTGATGCGGCGTAGAAGATAGCCGTCGTAACAGTGGATATAGATATAAAATAAGTCCTAGAGTATAAATAGATAAATAATATATTTTATTTTATAAACTATATAGTTATACAGTATCGAGAATCATTTTTTAATGTCTAATTATTTTCTTTAATTTCATTTGAGGGGGATAATAGATAATCGGAGGAGTAAAGATGGGCGAGGTAGAAAGTGTTTTGAAGACTCTAGTTTTGCGGATGGAAGTGGATAGACTTCAGCGAGGGTTAGAGTGCATGTTATGAGAATATTGAGCTTTGAGTATTAATGTGAAAGACGATAGACGTGAATTCAGAACGGCTATATTTTCCATCGTTTCACGTACAAATCTATGCTTAAACTACAGCCACTATAGAGCCCGTCCATGCATCTTGAAAGTTGGTCACTTTCTACATTTCATAGCTAACAAGAAGTTTGTTCATTATTCGCCGTATCCATTTACCATAAAAACCCCCTCACTTCAAACCTCAGAACTCAAACCTTATACCTAAATCCCCTCTGACCAGCCGCCACTGTACCTTCATTAACCGCCCCATCTACCATTTCTCCCCTATCTAACTTCTTATTCAACCTAACCAACATCGTCCTCAACGTAAGCGCCGCACACATGGCCATAAAAACCATTCCACAATTCACACTCATCGCCACAATATATCTCGGGCCCGCACTACTGGGATACATGTAACTAGCATAAATACTCGAGGAATTAGAAACCGCATTGATGAAGGCAAGCGCGACGGCTCTCTTAGCAGGGGGTCTAGGTAGTGTATTAGAAATCCAAGCAAGTGCGACGACAAAAGCGGTGTAGCAGCCGGGAACCATGAGCATCATGGCTACGTAGCGTGGAGCGGTACCTGTGGTTGCCGCGGCAAGGATGAAGGATAGTAAGGCGATGGTGAGCGGAATGGCGATGTGGAAAAATCGTTCGCCAGTCTTATCAGCGTGCCAGGCATTGGCCATGGAGGTTATGAGGGCCAGGACGTAAGGAGGTGCAGTTAACAGAAGTGATTGGATTCTATTGTATTTTAGGGTTGCTACAACGGTTCTAAGAAGTATTAGTGGTTCCCTTGGATAGATGGATAAATTGGGAGACCTTACGGGAAGAAATTGGTAACCGAAGCAGCTGCAACGATACCAAATAGGATAAGCATGAGAATGTAGGTTTTGATGTCGGCAAAAGCGAGTTTCAAGCCATGCATGAACGTTTGCTGATGGCTATCAACCCAATCGTCCATACCCACATCCTCTTCCAAACGCCAAACAGCCAGTTCACGCTCCTGCTCTGTCAACCAAGCCGTGGTTCGCGGGAAATTTGGGATGATAAAGTAACCCGCAGCGGCAATCACAACCGTGAGGGAGCCCTCAATAATAAAAAGCCATCTCCAGGCAAGAAGTCCTTTCACTCCATCCATTCCGTCCGTGATACCCGCAGCCAGGAGACCAGAAAATGCTCCGCTGATCAATGATCCGGAAAAGAGGAAGGCTGTACGCAAACCTAGTTCCTTGCGAGTATACCAACATGAGAGGTAGTAGAGACATCCAGGCTGGGCAGCATTAGAATCTTCGGACATATCAAAACATCACATGCAAAGAAAACTTACAAAGTATGCAGCCTCGACGAAACCGAGGAAGAATCTACACATAAGAAGGCCGACAAAATTGTGAGTTCCAGCTGTTGCAGCTGATATCATTCCCCAGACAATCATTGCTGTTGGGAGATAGGTGGCGGGAGTGCCGAGTTTATTCAAGAATAAATTCGATGGGATTTGCATCAAGAGGTAGCCGACGAATAGGATACTGACGCAAGTCTATAATTATTAGCTTTCATCATCCATAAAACCATGAAAGGTATTATCTAGCTACATACCTGGTATTCATCTCCAACTAGTTTCAAATCTTCCTCCATTCCTGCTAATCGCGCTGCTGCGATGTTGTTCTATCATGAATTTTTAGTTGTGGGGTATGTAAAATCAGAGGAAAGACATACTCTGTCCAGGTAATTCATGATATACATTAAGATTACCATTGGCAATAATCTTATATCAATTTTTCTCTTTAGTTTAGATTCGATACTGAGACGTTCTTCAGGAGAAAGAGTCGCGATCCATTCTGGTGGTTGAAGAACTCGAAGGCCCGGAGTGATTTTGGACGCTGAAGCTGTCGAACTATCCTTATTGTCTTCTATATGATCTAGCGGTGTCTTTCCGGCTATTGAGGCCATATTGATTACTCGAAAGCTCGATTGTTGTGATCTTTATGGCTTGGAAAGATGTTTTGATTTTGTATCTGGGCTTATAGGTATGTTACACGTAGGTTGCGCCGAGGACGGAGCAAGGTATTTCTTGTAAGACCTTACCACTTGCGATGAATGTTCGACGCCAAGACAGACTATGATATCACAGACTGACATTCAGGATTGAAAGCTTGAGGAAATAAAGTGAAGATGATAGCGACGATGATCTCTAACCATTAGAATTAATTACGTTCGCTGGGAGGAAGCAGTGAATTATAAATGACGGGCAAGAGATGATAATGATAATCTTGATATCCAGATATTACTAGGTATTCTTATTCCTTCATACTACAGTAGTAGTATTGCTTACCTGCCAGTACCTAGATAGGTAGCATGATGTGTCATCTGGGGAGAAGATTTTGCGGGGAGTATTCCATATACAGTGACAGGGGTTAGTAGCGCGAGCAATAATGCGGGGGAATTGGGATTTACTGGGGAAAGGTATCCACGAACTCTCTCAAATTGAAACACATGACTCTTGTGGAAGCACTTCTCGATTTTTCATTATCTCTAAACTCCTGTCCTATTAAATGATACCCCACTGCCAAGTTTGTGGGAGTGGAAAATGGCGAGAATAAAGTCTTCTATCAAATCCACATTTCGAGGTACGGATGCAAAGAAATGACGGGGTTGTTGATGGAAAAATTCTTTGCCAATTGTAAAATTACCAAACGTCCCGACGAAACCATGGATGGTACATGTGACCATGATAAATCGTTCCTCTCCTGCCAAGTCAAAATCCCACATAGACTGCCCAGGTGCTTACCAGTACATTCATTCTTCGTCCTCTGGCGATACTTCCGTAGTCTTTAATTGGCGTGTGCGGCCGTTCTGTCACTCCTGGTTAAACGTGCAACTTTTCCCGAGGCAATGCAGACAAGCGGATACCATCATACAAGCGAAGTTCCCCCGAAGTCGATGCTTCTCGGCAGTAGTGTCATTGGAACGAACATTATGCAGAAAGCGGAATTCCCGTTTTGGTCACCCCATCCAAGCCCTGCCCTCATCTACATACAATCCGTTGATCTTGTCAAAGGCGACGGGAGTGTGTCGGAACGCTGAATGTCTAGTTTCATTGGCCAATGTCTCGAAAATTAAGGAAACGGAGTGGCTCTCGTGCATCGTTCGCACTCCACAAAACTGTTACCCTCGGCACGTCTGCCCATCCAGCCAGGAGAAATGGATGTGTGGACTGATGTGACGTTGAGAATATTAGAGTTTTGATAGTGGTCTGAGGATCTTTTGGAGTCCTTCCTTGATTGTGTCGTTCATTCCTTGGGCTGCTGGCCTGCCAGTCTTTCTTTCAACAAATACGTGGACGATTTCCCCTACCGACTTGACTTCTTCAACTCCTCGCTCGAATAAGGCGATCTCGTAGGTAACACTGCTTTTTCCAAGCTTGTTGACACGTAACGCTAGATCAGCGACAGCCGGAAATGCAATTGAGCCAAAGAAATCACCATGAGAGTGCACCACTAAGCCGTATTGGGATGAAGTGGGAGGGTGTAAACCACAATGTTCGATGAGATAAGAGTTCACGATTGAATCGTACCTTTTCGAATCTCAGTCACATACTACATTTCAGCAGATTAAGATAAGCCTTACAGAAAGTTGTAGATGCTATTGTTCATATGATCATACATATCATTGTCAGACCTTGAGATCTAAGTCAGCTAATTGAAATTTGGCCTGAAATATATGATGTCATACCAGCGTGTCCTGTACTCTAAAATGTAGCCATAATCCTCTCTCCTCCGTTTTTTAAGCTCTCCATGAGACATATCGATTGGACTTCGTGATACGTAGACAGATATCAGAGTGAATATAAACTTTTGAAATAGATTTGGGGAGGAAGAGCAGCGAGATTGGTAGGAAGATCTGGTTTGTGCCGAGGTATATTTGGGGATTTCAATAACCTAGGGCCGAACGCGAATTCTGGTGATATTGGAAGAACCGGTGCCAACAGGCAAATTAAGAAGAAAATGAGCCTCAAAACAAGCTCATATCTATATTGTGCTGAACGCGGTATTCTCAACCCTCCAGTTACATTTGCGGGTTCTCGGAATCCCCCTGATTGAGTGCTAGGTATTCACCCAACCATGGCTATACCCGGTGACCTTTGGCAGAAAATGTGTTCTGCCCAAAAGCGGTGTAAAAAGAACCCAACTTCAAACAGTTTTGTGACTCTCAATAAAAAATGACTTGTATTTCACATCACAATTTTTAAGATTGTTATTTTGCACTATCTACCACATTTAACGTGAAATTCGACTCGGTGGCTCCTTCACCTCGCATCATTGCGCTTTTGGCCCGCAGGGCTGGAATGCTTAATCCTACCATGGCACTTGTCGAAACTTCTGCAGGATATGCGCCTGTGGAAGAGAGAAAACCATTTGAAGAACCCCCCGCAGTTGTGATTACTCCTGCGGATCCGTGGCCGCGACCATATTATCTAGAGAATGGGTTGCGCAGAGTCGCGCCGTACCATTTCACCTACAATACGTACTGCAAACAAAGATGGAGGGGAAGAGAAATACTGGATATATTTTCAAGTGAATTTCGAGATAGGCCACTGGAATATTATGTACGTTAGGAATATTCGAAGTAAAATCGAGCCCTGCTGACAGGCTTAGAAAGATGCCATGGAACGTGGAGCTATTGCTGTGAATGGCAAACCGGTCGAATCAACTTCGCAGATTATAAAGAATGGAGACGTTATATCACATACCCTGCATCGGCATGAACCCCCTGTTACAGCTCTTCCAATATCAATTGTGCATGAAGACGAAGATATCATCGTCATAAACAAACCTTCCGGCGTTCCGGTCCACCCTGCCGGCCGGTACAACTATAACTCTGTAGTTGAAATCATGAGAGCTGAGCGCGGACATGGCTGGAATCCCTTACCGTGTAATAGGTTGGATAGGTTAACTAGTGGCATTATGTTCATTGGAAAGCATGCGAAGGCTGCAGAAGCACTAAGTTTACAAATATCAGGGCGCACTGTCAGAAAAGAATATATAGCACGAGTAAAAGGAAAGTTTCCGGACGGAGAAGTGGTTTGTGACATGCCAATCCTGCAGATATCGCCGAAATTGGGACTGAATCGTGTTCGGGCGAGTGGTAAAGCCGCTCGCACAGTCTTCAAGCGCCTAGCATATTATCCGCCGGAAAACCTAGAACAAGTTGAGGACAGCTCCGAGCCGATGGAGCCAGACAAGTCGAAACCATCGATGAACAAGGAGGGCTATTCGATCGTTAGATGCCTTCCGGTCACAGGACGTACACATCAACTCAGGGTTCATTTACAATTTTTGGGTCATCCTATTGGTAATGATCCTATATATTGCAACCAACGCGTATGGGGGACACGGCTTGGGGAAAATGATTCTGATGCAACTCAAGATACGGATGAAGATATTATAACTCGTCTTTCAAGGATGGGCAAGTCAGAAGTTGCTGATGCTGTAGCCTACCATGATGAGATGGTAGACGAATACAACAAGAAAAAGGCCGAGAAGATGTCCGGAGAGCTATGCGACATATGTCAGACCCCTTTATATACCGATCCGGGTGAGCAGGAGCTATCCCTGTGGCTCCACAGCCTTCGCTATGAAGATGCTGGGGGATCTTGGAGTTATGTGAGCCCTCTCCCAACATGGGCTTTACCTCCTGTCGGTATGGATGGACCGACAGAAGTTGGAGGTATGGAAGAGCTGGTCAAGGCCGTCAAGGAAGACAACCCTGAAATTGCATGAGCCCTGTGTTATGCTCTGTTTGATACATTCTTCTGAATGTACCTGAAAGCCAAAAGCATAATACATACTTCATTGGGAGTAACGACCTTGTCAGTTCATTCAATCAAATCGCCCTCGTTACAACATTTTGGTAGTAGGTATTAGCGAGACGATATAGTCAATATTACTGTTGGAACGCCTTCGGCATCCGACTTACAGAGACAACAAATTTACCAGACAAACCACAAGATTTATGGTTTGATTTAATGACTCATCAACAATTCAATATATACCTATCTATGCTTGAAAATATGAATTGATAAATGGTTCACGGAATTTGATCAGCCTATCCTTTCAAAAATCCAAATCTGATCCTTGAGACAACTTTTTTGTATTGACTTGAATTGGGTTTGAGTTAGAATTTGAGCTTGTGATTCGGGAAGTGGATCGAATCACCGAATATGTCATGATGATGTTTGATACTCATAGTTCCGATGGGGATCGGTGTTTGCCTTCGAAACCCAAATTAGGTTAACAAGCCAATCCGCACTAGAGGAGGTTCACAGTATTCCGAAGGGACGTTGTTAGGTTATTATGAGCTCAACTTATAGAGCAGACACTGTGTATGTAGTTTACAGATCACACCTAACCTAGAGAGAGTAGCCGTTCCATAAGAACAATAAGACCCCGTGCCTAGAAACCTATTCGTTGTCTAGACCTAGATTTGATAACTTATCAGACAATGATATCAAATGTGGCATATCCTGGATTTTATTCTTTAAATCAAACACGGTCTGAATTGGACGCTAACCGAACTCTTTACTCTTCCAGGAACCTCCTCGTATGTACTGTAGATCATCCCAGTGTTCGCTTGTGAACACGCATGGATCAAGGAGTGCCGATCATGACTTCAGTACTAATGGCTTTTGTGAAATCCTGTTACAGAACCTCTTCCTATTTGGAAAAATTTGCGGAGTATAAGAATTACGGTATATTCCTTCATACTATGTTAATGCATATGCTTATCTAGTAGCTTTTAGAGCTCCGGATCGTCATTCATGGCTGGCGGCATGAGCGCATTGACTTGATAACCCTCAAGTCGTTGATTGAGCTGAAGCTAGAAGAATTCCCTCATCACCAATTGGCACTGTTCTATTTGCTAACCGTGCCTAGGTACATGGAAACGGATAAACACCGTCCCGGTACCGGTCAATTGGTACTTCATACAGATGTTAATATCGATGACTTTACTTTACCTTACCTTTAACCTACCTTAGTCCTACTGAGTTTGTTCGGAACTCAATCAATAGATGATTATGAAGCAGTTGGTATTATTGATATGAGCATAGCATTAAAGACATATGTGATGCATATATGTCTTGCCGTGTATTATCTTTGCCCCTTCATATGCATGTTGATTTGACACTGCAGCAGCTAAACGATTCGCTGGATGATTAGGTAATAAGGTTTACCGGCCTTTCGGCGAACCTGGAAACTTTCTTTTAGTCCTGTTGCTCCATTGAATCTTTGACACAATAATTCGGATCAAATTTCTATTAGCTTAAAGTTTTCTTCTCATTCATACAAAATCTTGGTGTTTCATATGTAAAGTAGACATTTTCTACTCATTCATCTACAATTTAATCAAATCCACACGGGTTTCATTTTGTACTCTTGTAGCTTCCTGAATATACCCGTTCGTTACCTTCAGGTCATACCTCGATTTCTCAAATATATCTTAGCTTCAATCTTATTAATCATTCTTCACAAGCTCGCATTTTCTTTTGACACGGCGCAACAGCTACTTATACCACTAGTCAAAGTAGTTTGGAGCCAAATTCCTGCATTCCGGCGTTCCTGCCTGGCAACTACACATCACCCAAACTTTCTTCAGCCTTCCACCTCATTCATCTATCGATCTCACATCTTATCCATCAAACTGTTCTGTTTAAAATTGGTACGGCCTCTGTGTCCGCAAGTTCGCCTCTCACTCCTCTTTAAGTATTAAGTTCCTGCTGTGCCGAACAGTTCCGATCAATTTTGCGAACCTGGACGACACTTCAGTATCGAGGATTTTCAAATCTTGGATTTTGGCGGCCATATTACCAACCTTCAAGATACCGGAGAATACTCAAGTTGGTGGAATCTTACTGTTCTATTCCATTCTCTATCATATTCTCGACTATATTCATAGTGACTAGTCTTACCTCGCAGTTAGCCTTCACGTTATTAGCGCTCGATTTGGGTAGCAGCCGACTTGCCACAACTGATTCAATTCGTGATGGCGAGAAAAGCCAATGGAAGATCTGTTTTATAGTAGAGCCTCCTTTTGCAACCATCACGGCGCATCCCATTATGTCTCAACTAGGCAATAGCCTCAACGGACCTGTAGGCTCGGATGGAGAAGAATTGAGCCGTTCAGACTCGCCGCGTGCAGCTGACAAGAAACCCGGTGAAAAAAAGCGAGGTATGAAACAGCCGAGCAGATTCAAAGGAATCAAGGCTTTAGCCATCTCATGTTTCGACAAGTCGTCTAACATTCACAGCATCGCGTGCAGGGTCTCGCAATGTATCAACCTTAACCCCTGCCCAGTACGTATAGTATATATGGAGTTCCCTGGGCATTACCTTCGGAGCCGAACAACAGGACCCAAATTCCACTATAGAGAAATGTATTAATTTGTATTAGACTAGCAAGGAAAAGAGCCAATGATCGCGAAGCCCAGCGGAACATTAGATTAAGAACCAAGGTGTGATAAACTTCTCTCTAGCTCTTTTCCTATCTGTTTGATAAGTTCAACATGATACATTAAACCACTGGAGCTTATTTGAACAGTTTTTTGACTGGATATGTAGGAAAATATTGAGCAATTGGAAGCCCGCGTCGAAGAGCTTATCAATGGTCGTCACAACGAAGCAGAGCTTGAAGAGTTGCGAAGACGAAACGAAGCATTGGAGCTGGAAGTAAGACAATTGAATGAAGCCCTAGTACAGCTGAGAGACGATGACAGTTCAGGTATGTACTTATTTTCCAAAACTTCTTTGAAAAGAGCCTCCGCAAAAGTTTAGGCCTTTTGCTGCGTGTTTGTGTATTCTGAATCGCCAAATTTGGCTGTGTCAAGATATTTGAGAGGATGAATTTCAAACCAAGTACTTAAGGTCATAGTTATTCGGTCAATTGGTACAGCTTAAGCATCAATTGGATGTCTACTGTTTTTACACCTCCTGAAAGTTTCATCATCTACAATTAATGGACATCCCACCGCTGACACAAGCCACATAAGGTCCTGATCAGCCTAACGAATCAACTTTTCTGAACAACGCAGAAATTCCCGGTCCATCGGCACAAAATATTCCTCAAGGAGTTTCCGCGACTGGGTCCATTAATTCGCACGATTTTGAGGCGCCGTGGTATCACCCGGCAACTTCAATAAATCCAATTCATACTCACACGCACCCACCCAGCGCTGTATTTGCGCCTATTGATGGAGTATCACAAGCACCAGAATCAGCTTCTGTCAGCTCCTTAGATGGGAACAGCCATTTTCCATATTTTGGCCCAAATCCCTCTGAGAATCTCAATGACGGTAAGTTGCCCCGTTCTTTCAAATCCTATGCTCTTCCTCACACAGCCTCTCTTCAATATTCAGGATAATGACCATATTGTAGCAGACATTTGGATTCCAACATCTCTTCCATCAGATGCCCTTCAAAGTACGAACTTAGCTGCCATTTCAGGCCACGCACAATCGCAGCCGACATTACAACAAACCCCCGGCTCTTCAATGATCGTTACCAGCCAAACGATTCCGCCACCTTTACCACCATTCGATGCACTTCAACCTTGGGCCCTGCCAATACTGAATACAACGTCACCGACATGTGGAGTTGATACCCTACTTCTAAACATCATACGCACGCAGAAAGAAATTGCGAGACAAGGGGCATCAGAATTCGACATAGTCGGACCTCCTCAACCTAGCATGAAGGTTCTCATTTATCCTAATGACCAAGTTCATACTCATAATATCTCCACAATGATCTCAAGACTTCTTACAAACCTCACGATCAAGGGCCTTGCGGAACGAGCAGGTTGCCTCTACCTGATGTATCATATTTGCCAATGGCAAATCTATCCCACATCATCGACGTATGGCAATTTGACAGACTGGACTTCGCCGCGAACTTCCCAGCTAATTACGCCTCATCCTGTATGGGTAGATTCAATATTTTGGGGCAAACTGAAGGATAGGGTCATTGAAAAACAAGACCTTTACGCCAACGAAGAATTCCAAAATGCATATATAGTATGCATCAATGTAAACTGGCCACGGCCCGACTTGGAGGCATTCAGGTTCGAAGGTAACGATATATTTATCACCAAAGAATTTGAGGATCACATCAAAACTCTATCGAACTGGAGCTTGGACGAGAGATTCGCCGCCAGGTACCCCGAACTAGCACCTTTGGCCAGGATTTCGGGAGTGGGAGGCGCAGGACAACTAGGACTATAAGGATCTTACGTATAGCCAGAAAATATTACACAAAGAGTATATGGAGTTTTGCGGATCGGAGTTGGTAGAATCAGCAGGATGAATAGCAACAAGTAAATGCATAATGAATCCTAATCTAATCATTCAACAATTTTCTTTATTATTACAAGTTTGATGGGTTCATGGAGGGATACAAATACCAAGGATATCTGTAATTGCAGCATCAAACACAAACTATTGTTATAAGATCTTGAGTCTTGTAGGGAAGAAGGAATGAAATAGATTATGATTAAAGAGTCCCGAGTTAGTAACTCATGTAACTAAGACCAAGACAACCGTAGGAATTGAGATGGGGCAAAACAATTCACAAAAGATGTTACAATGAAATTTCCCTTGTAGATCAGCTTTGAACTTGTACATAGTAATCATACATACATAGTCGTGGTCCCGGAAACCGTGTAGCCGGAAAGTATAAAACTTGGAACGCTCTAGGAAGTACCTAATTGTTCTTCCCAAGATTTCCCCTTCGTTTCTTAACACCGATTTGGCGTTCGGAATTTGACGTTTCCTGGCTGCACGAGTACACCAGGTACTTACTATGCCTCAAAAAGTAAACGTTTGCGAATACTTCCACGGATGTATATATCCATGGTTTGTGCTTTATTTTATACTTTTGACTTTGCCGATCTTATTGTCAGTAAGTGCTAATGTGGTGAACTTTATTTTTGTCTCGTGATTGTCTGTTGGTTGGTCGTTGTCTGTCTGAGGGGTAGGTGGTGTAGTGGTTTGAGAGATGTTAGGGGATGGTTAAGTTTAGGATAGTAGGTTAAGGTGGAGGTTATTAGTTTAGTTTTTATTTGTTTGTGTGATCAGATCAGAAGTAAGATTACCTATCGGAGGAGTGTGGAATTAAATTATTGTTAATCCGGGTAGATTAAGGCTTTCGCTTATCGAACAGTTGGAAATGTATTTACCCCTGTATGTTAGATAGACTGGATTAGTTATTATACATCACGTGCTAGCGCGACAAATACCCCGCGATTTTAGAAATCAGAACCGCGCTTTCTCATCTCGTCGCATTGTTCGAAATAGAAGTGTGGTTGGACGGTAATATCATGGGAGCCTGTACAATGAGACTTTTGAAGAGAAATCAATTACAATAAGGTTCTTCAATACAGAAGCAGAGATTTTAACTGCAGCATTCAACGACAATCGACACCGCGACAACAGCATGGTGAAATTCAACGCGCCATTCTGTCACTATCTTTCGCAAATGGGTTAGTGAATTTTGTCCTTTCGGAGTCCCATCAATAATTCAGTTATTTCAATCATCGTCATTTTAGAATATTCTTCGATAGACAATATTGTAGCATCTTTTGATATTGAATGCTACTTGTCGGAGTAGCAAGGTTCTGCCATGGCTCTCACCACGCAGTATGAGGATGAAGTGACCACGGAAGATGAAGAGCTTGAGCGCAGGCCAAATAAAATCAAGGCTCTGTTTGCATATGGTAGGTTGATCAGGAGTATGCCTAAAACCTGCGCTGAACTCTTTCCTTAGAGGTTATATCTTTATCCGACAGCGAAGATAGCAACGGATCCGAAACGAGGACCTCCAACGTCGGCAATAAGGGAAAACGTAAAGCCATCGAGCAAGTGGAATGGTCGGATGATGATGAAGACGAAAACCCGTACGAGAAATTTAAGAAGAGGAAGTCCGAGAAACGCAAGAAATTGAATGCACAGAAGAAACGAATAAAAGAACGCGCAAAAGATGCCAAGGAGGCAAAGGAGAAGGGAGGATCGTCCAAACAAAAAGAGAGGATTTGGGGGGAAGAATCAGATTGTGAAATGGACGATGAAATTCCTCAGTACCTACAGACTAGACGGAAAGAATTCGATACGAAGCTAGATAAAATGAAGAGCGCTGGCCTTCAGCTTCCCCCTGACTATTCTGATATATACTTTTCAGATGATGAACGCATGGCAGAGCTCGATGAACGGCCTGATTTCCCAAGCACTGTAGAGCCATCAAGACCCTATGCAGATATAAATATGGAATTATCTAATGATGTTATTCCTGCATCTATTGCACAGTATCTTCGAGATTATCAGGTAGATGGAGTCAAATTTCTTCATGAAAAGTTCGTTTACCAGAAAGGGGGGATCTTGGGTGATGATATGGGTCTAGGGAAGACTGTGCAGGTGGCCGCTTTCCTTACTGCGGCATTTGGAAAGACAGGGGATGAGCGGGATGAAAAACGTATGCGGAAAGTGAAGAATAAAGACGAAGGACGATGGTACCCTCGAGTACTCATTGTGTGCCCTGGTTCTTTAATCCAGAATTGGAAGAATGAACTGACGAGGTGGGGATGGTGGCATGTTGAAAAATTTCATGGGAATGTGAAGGAGAAAGAGCCTGTACTTCGCAGTGCTCAATCTGGCCGCGTCGAAATCGTTATTACTACATATTCAACATATAAGAATTACAAGGATGAACTGAATACAATTTCTTGGGATTGTGTTGTAGCTGATGAATGTCATCAGCTCAAGGAAAGAACGTCTCTTACGACACAAGCGATGAATGAAGTAAATGCCTTATGTCGCATTGGACTTACAGGAACTGCTATACAGAATAAGTACGAAGAACTTTGGACGCTGCTTAACTGGTGCTCGCCTGGTAAGGTGGGCCCATTGGCTACTTGGGTTTCGACCATCTCAGAACCTTTACGGATTGGACAGAGCCACGACTCCACTAATCAACAGGTGAAACGAGCTCGGGAGACTGCGAAAAGATTGGTCAATAACCTTATGCCTCATTTCTTTCTACGGAGGATGAAGACCTTGATCGCCCATCAACTTCCAAAGAAGACAGATAGATTGCTACCATGTCCTCTTACTGATCTTCAACGAGATGCATACGAGAGGTTTCTCGAAAGCGATATTGTGCAGCTCGTCAAAAGTCACGGCGAACCCTGTGATTGTGGTAATGGTAAGAAATTAACGCGCGGGGCATGCTGTTATTCTAAAATCTCTGGAACCAATATAAAATGGCAGGCTATGGTATTTCCCATCATGACCACACTTCAGAAGTTATCCAACCACCTGGCTCTTCTCTTGCCTAACGACGGTGATCCCAGAGAGAAGCAAGAACGGGACTTAGATTTCCTGCAGAAAATGTTACCGGATAGATGGGAGGAATTATACAAAGCTCGAGATTCAATTGCAAATCTGTCCAACCCCGAGTTTTGCGGCAAGTGGAAAGTGTTGAAGAAGCTTTTGAAACATTGGCATGAGGAAGGAGACAAGGTTTTAATCTTTTCTCATAGCGTCAAGTTATTAAGGATGCTTCAACATTTATTTCAGAGTACTAGCTATAATGTTAGCTTCCTCAGCGGTGAAATGAAGTATGAGGATCGTCAGGATACAGTGGATGATTTTAATTATGATCCTAATCAATTCATCTTCTTGATTTCCACCAAAGCTGGAGGTACGTTTCGTTCTCGATTTCATTATGTTCTGTATGGCATTTCTTTTTCGAATTATTACTTGCCGAACGTGGTATTTAGATGAAAGTTCGATAGTTTGAAATTTTTGGATGTATGAATTGGCCCTCAAGCCCTATGACATCTAGATTTTCCTCATACTAACTGTATCTATAGGCGTTGGTTTGAATATTACCAGTGCTAATAAGGTAGGCTTCGTTCTCTAAGAATATCGCAGCGGTTACTGACTTCACAGGTGGTTATCTTTGATCCTAATTGGAACCCAAGTTATGACTTACAAGCTCAAGATCGAGCATACAGAATAGGTCAGCTTAGGGACGTCGATTCATTTCGACTGGTTTCCGCTGGGACCATAGAAGAAGTTGTCTATGCTCGCCAGATATATAAACAGCAGCAAGCTAATATCGGATACAATGCTTCAATGGAACGTCGATATTTCAAAGGTGTACAAAATGCAGTAGGCCAAAAAGGGGAGATATTTGGATTAGATAACCTATTGTCTTTCCACGCAGAAGAAATTCTACTTCGAGATATTGTCAATAAAACCAATGTTGCGGAGACAAGAGCGGGTGTTGCAATGGCCAGTTTTGATGTCCAAGCAGCACTTGATGACGATGACAATCCTCTACGAGCCGATGATGATGATCCTAATGGCGCAATGAGTCAACTGGCTGCCCTAATCACTAAAGGCGAAATAGATATCAAGCGCAAAAAGAAACCCACTCCCAAATCCGACCCCATTGCCGCAATCCTAGCATCAGCAGGTGTAGAATACACGCACGAAAACTCAGAAGTAGTCGGCTCATCAAAAGTCGAAGAGAGATTAAGTCGTCGCGCGGAAGAAACAGGCGGTGAAATCGGCTATGGTGAAGAAAGACTTTTCAGACCCACATCATCAGGACACGCGGGAAATGGAAATATACGCTATGAGTTTCATCCGCCGGATGATGTTATGAAGAGACAGTTTTGTACGATGGCCAAAACGTTCGGGTTTGCTAATGCGACGGAATTTGCGCTGGTAGTGGAAGGGTGGACGCAGAAACAGCGGACGGATTTTTTGGAGAGGTTTTATGCGAAGAGGAGGGAGAGGTTGGTGGAGTTGGATAGGGAGGGGGAGGGAAGAGAAGGGAGAGAGAGAATGGAGAGAATGGAGATGTTGAGGGAGGAAGCGAGGGTTGATATGGATGGTGAGACGGAAACTGATGAGGATGAATTGTAATGATACCCTTTTTGAAGTTTGGCTTGTCACTTGAGATTTGGGCGAATGGGTGTATAATATTACATCTAGGTTGTAGATATGAGTTACAGTACTTTTTTTCATAAATATCTATATATGGGGTTTGAATGCTGAATATATGCTGTCTACTATAGACCCTAAGTATCTGTCTGACGCTACATCCTGCTATCTAAAGATATTTAAAGTTGTCCAAGTGGCTGAATTCGAAAATAAATTCCATTCGGTACAAGAAGAGAGTTCTTCACGAATGGCTATTAATAATCCGTTTAATAGCTTTAATTTACAAGGTTAGGATAGTCAAGTGGCTCACTTGTTTAGATGTTCTCCTGATTATCGTTTTTTTGTTTTTATTTTTTCGTCATGATAAATAGCAAAGATATTGAATGGCTACCCAGGTATCTAGAGATAGAAAATCACCGTGCCAAATGATCCATCAAAGAACTTTACTTCGATATCTTTTTACCAAGTCTTACTGCTAATTTAAAATCAGGATTTAATTAATTTATCCATATCACTATTTTGATTGCTTGATATATCAGCAGAAAAGACTACAATATTAACCTTGCATATAACCTTAAGCGAAGATCTAGTCGATTCCGATAAATATTGCCATGGGTTTAGCTTGCCTGCAGTCATATTATATATGAAAATATTCTGAAGTCGAAGTCTTTTGCTCTCTTATATGGTTAATTATGTGTTCTGTGTTCGGAAGTAATTGCAGTCTTTCTTCTGGTTAGTAGGAGGCTGGTTGGATTTCGGATATTGCATTTTATTGATATACCAGAGCAGTGCTTAGTGCTGATTGAAGGAGGAGGGGGCAGAGTTGTTTCAAAAAAGAAAAGAAGTCCCGCGTGAAAGTCGGAAAAGCGATGGGTTGTATATTATATCATGCTGGTTGTGGTCTTCTTTAGTGTAAGGAAATGGATATCCTGATGTTTAGATACCTTCATAGGATTTTCCTCGTGGTCGGGCGTGTTTGAGAAGTTGATTTGTGGAAAGTAAATACTGAGGTGAGCTATTGGTATGGTAAAAGATATACCAGGTCAGGGTACCCGTAATGAGGTAAAGCACTGTGGTGAATGTGGATTGACTAGATCATATCGACAATGTCACAGTTAAGACGAATATCTATATCTCATGTATGCAGGAAAATATACTCTAGTTCCTAGAAGTTAGAGACCACGATAAAAATCGGAGTTGTAATTAGTAGTATCATAGCAATAGTTAGGTGAAATACTTGTTCAATAACCGAAAATGTGGAGGTGGATTCCCTAGGAGAAACATCAATATGCCCTGGCGGACCGGAATAGCTTCATTGCCATTCACAGTTACTTAAATTACTTTCGGTATTAAGGCTGTAGAGGGGATGTCTTTTGGGGCATGTTCACCGAATATTTAGTTTGGAATTTTTGGAATATGTTGTATGTGATACGAAGGAGAGTAGCTGAGTATGTTTTGTGATACAGAGTATATTCACCGCAAATCTATGGAAACTTGCTAGAGCTCTATACTTCGAGATGCTAGAGCAGTGCAACGTATGAAATAATAAGCAGAGGGGCTCGGTATAACAACATTTCGTTATATCTTCCAGAAATCTATCTTTTTCATTCTGAGCAGGAAGTAGATTGAGTTACGTGGATAAAAATTTGTAGACTTAGAATTTCTGCAGTAAAAGACCCCCAACATTCCAAGTATCAATAAATACCAATCACAAATCACCTAAGCCCTCTCTACCTACCCATCTCAACCCTACCTTCTCAGGACTTCTCATCTGCAACAACAAAACAATAACATTATCCCTAACCACATTCATAACTCTCTCCTTTGCTTCTTGCTTTGTTTCGCCCTCTTCACGCACAATCTCTACCCGATTTCTCTTGAAGAACGCAACCATCGCTGCGACAAACTCTACTTGGCTAAATTTCATACCTGGACATGCTCGGATTCCTGTCGACCATGGCTGGTATGATCCTTTAGGTGGAGTGCATATATATTCACGTTCGAGCGGGGATGAGTTCGTACTTTCGGTTTGGGATAGGATCCAGCGCGGGGGACTATAAGATTGGGGAGTTATGGATTGCTTGTCAGGAAAATGGAAGGAGGAAGGGATAGTATAGAACAAAACGTTTAGGAGAGAAAACCGGGGGTGGATGCAACACAAGAAATAGAGAAGTGAAGTTTGAGATCAGAGAATGAAGTTGGGTTAAACTTACTGCCATTCGAGACTATTTTAACCCCAGTATCGTGGATGCGAGTGCAATGCATTGCTATTTGGAATAATGCGCGTGTCTGGTGGAATGATGATCGTTCGACCGTCGACTGTAAGTGGTTGTGGTTTTTCAAAAGTAGACTTGCAGATACCGATCAATGGATTCCAAAGTCGCACAGTTTCTAACTATTTTACACACTCATTATCAGCATCACACTGTTCTCTTTTGGGGGAGGAATAATTCACCATTATAGCAAGACATCGGTTCAACTTGGGGTATATTTCCTTGAAATCCCATGTTGATGGCATATCGTTCGTCAAAACGGCGTTAATCTCTTCGGAGATCCAGTCTTGAACTTCGGGGTGAGCCGCAAGAAGATAAAGTGTCCAATTGAGTACAATGGCAGTTGTATCATGCCCGGCAAAATTATAAACGAAGATGTTTCCATATATTTCCTCTTCGGTGAGTCCTTGGAAGCCATTTGTGACATTTGAGATTGAGCCTTCTGATGATGACTGAGACTGTTCTTTGGAAGCTCGAAGTAAAGAATTTGTAAAAGTTGCGCTTCTGGTTTTCCCTTGTGAAATAGCATGCTTTTCATCATTGAGCATCTCTGTCATATAATACTTGAAGTCGACTGTTGCTCGTCCAATCCGCTCCCACTTTGGCGGCCATGGCACTTTAGAGAGAAGTTTAGGACCGAGGACAAGAATGAGAAGGCAGTTTTCCAGGACAATGGCGAGTGAGTCTCTGTAATTAAAGGTATGTCCTTGTTTGGGTTGCTCGGTCGATCTTTTGAAGGAGTATGATTTCCCAAATCCAGCCCCAGACAGTACATGGAGTGAGAACGTGCGGGTATCTTTATCTGTCCGGATGACAGGTTCTTCGAGGGACTTCCAGAACTGCCTAATCTCATCTGCCTGTCTCAACGCCTCGATCCAGACTAGACGATTGTTCTGGTCATTGAATGGTGCGCTGGTGATTTTGCGTTGACGCTGCCAATCTGCGCCTACTGCCTGGGATAGTGTTAGCCTGATTAGTTCATTATCTCAGGACCATCTTCACGCACTGTTGAGATATTAGGTCCAAAAACCGCTAGCACCGCTAGGACAGTTAGCAATTCTTCGCAGCATGATGACTTGATATTTCTCTTACCCAGCAAATCCGGTGGTCTATCAAAATCATCCTTCCTTTTGAAAATTTCATTCACTGCGTCTGAATCGCAGAGATACAACCAATTGCGCCCAGCTGATACATGAATCACTGCATCGCCAAGCTCTTGGTGCATTTTGTACTTATCTTTGAATTCCCACCCCGGCTCGCTGTACCTGGCGATGTCACATTCGCCGAATACAACCCTTATGACAGGAAGCACGATACCTGATACGAGAATCCACTATCATTAACATTTTAGCGGTTGCCTGCTACTTAGGAGTGGGAAGAGACATTTACGGATTCGAGGAGGGGGTTGTATGAGACTTACTACTGGGTTATCGCCGCTGGCAATCAGGATCCTGATGGGAATTCTAATCTTCTGAGCAATTCTGTAGTTTTTAACCAGACAAACAAGGTTCCAGATGCCAAAGCTTATGGGCATAAGGATTAGCAGTACATATACCAAGTAAGCCATAATGTTCGACACTGAAGAGAGCAAACTGGGAGAATGCGCGAGGAAGCGGAACTGAGGACTGATCAAACAATTATTTCCTGCTCTGTTATTTTAAGTACACTAGTACTTACATGGATATAATGGCGCAGCACAGTTGAAAACAGAATAGGCTGGCGTAAGCTTTTAATGAATGATATTGAGACGCTTATAAATTTCCACCAACATCTTAATGCAGTTGGAATTAATACTAGCTTTTTGCGGCAGTCTAACTGCATATGCGACAAGAAAAAATACTCTCTCCACTTTGCAGGGCCATAAATATTTACAAAGGAAATATTTCATAAATGTTCCATAGCAAGCAATGAAGCTTTCCCCTAGGTATAAGAAATTCACTTACATCAAAACGGGAACATTTACACTGGTTCCCCTTGAGATCTTTAAATTATATCATCCGACCGTGGCTCGAAAATCTAAATTCGATCTCAATCACGTATGAACTCTAGTTGTACTCCAATACCTATCGCTCTCCTCCACAACCACCTTATCCATCCCCTCCACCGGTCCAATAATCTCAATATCCTTCTGTTGACCCTCCAAAATATCCCTCGTATGCCACTTCAAGGTAAAATTCTCTCTATTCCCGGGTCCCGTCAGACCTGCCAATTGTTCATTCGTCGCCGCATATACAATTCGTCCAATATGTGCCCAATAAATCGTCGCTACACCATCTTATGAGTTACATGAACCTCCAACTTCGATATAGAACAACAACAACATACCAGAACACATAGCACAAGGCTCCCAGGTACTTATCAACGTACATCTCCACAGATATTCTTTCTTATAATGCGAATAGGCTAGTCGTGCCAATGAGCTCTCGGCATGATTTACTTGATCGATGCTTTGATGTGAAAGGAGCACAGTTTCGTTATCGGGTCCTAGGAGAACAGCAGCAAAAGGACGTTTTCCTTGCGTGACGGCACGACGCTGTACTTCGAGACATGCGTTAATGCCCGCTTCGATTTGAGATGGCGTGGGAGGTGTGCGGAGTGGGAAGAGGTCGGGAGCAATTGCTTGCGCGGCGGAGGACGTAAGAGCTGCTTCGTGGGACATTTTTGGGTCTGGGGTTTCGTTAGTGGGGGAGAAAGTATAGATAGCATTTTTTTGGGGGGGGGGGATACCTGCAACGCTATCGTGTTCTTATTTGAGCTTTTGAGATGCGTCGCAGGTATTTTTGAGGGAGAATGATTATTTATACGCTCTTTTGCTATGGTCAGTAAAGGAGGGGGTCGTTATTATCTCTAGCTAGGCGAGGCGAGCTCCGTTTGCACCGGTTAAAGCAGAAGCTGGGATGGCCCGCATGAAGTTGTGGTCTTACACCAAAAATTTCAGGATTGTAGATCCAGCAACAATTCCATTCTACAGAATCAGAGTCCCTTGTTGTAGTCTAATGATAATCCAATTCTCGCTTTTTAGGGCCTTCACTTCATCTGATCGCCTCTCACTTTTAGACGTGTTGAATGCGGATCCGAAATATTGCTGTTTTTAATGTCCCAGGATTTCTGTTCAACTTCTCATATGGGCAACGAACAACAATAGGACCTGCACATTTCATCTCATTTCATTCATATTTATTATTCGTAAGATTTTAAATAAAGTTATCTCCAGTTCCAATGCGCCTGAGGTTTCCTCGCCCATGTGATATGCTTTCATTCAATAGTCAAGATCCATCCATTATCTTCACGTTCATTCTTTCCATTCAGACCACCCCACAAGAGAATACCTCTGGAGTCAGCATCACCCATTGACGAGCTTGCGAACCATCCGCGCTCTCCGGGCACAAGCTTCCTAACATCATCACCCTCAAAACCCTCTGAATCAGAGACGACTATCTGGCTCCAAAGACCTTCACCGGTTTCTCGTCCCAGTGCTTGCCAGGTAGCATCTTTGAAACTTGCCGCAGTCATGCCTTGCGGGGGACATTGAAATGCCCAGACATCGCTCCAAAACTTGCCGGCTCCATCATGGCCTTGGCTACTTGGATCTTTTTCGCCAAGTAAGAGAATTAAATATTCTCTGCCCATGCCTAAAAAATGTCAGTAATTGCTCCATTTTCAGTATAAATCGACCGCCAACACTAAACATAGAGAAGCATAAATCAGGAACTAACCAGTATTAATGGTATGCATGCCGGCCACACTTCGATGGCCAGGGTGTTTCATACTCTCTTCTTCAAAGTTTAAGGTTTCCCAATCTCCCTTCGAAGTGACTCCCAATTCACCTGAACCAGATTTGTCGTTGAAAGTTTCGAGAGCCAATTCCAAAATATCTAGATAGCCTCCCTCCTCACTCTCACCATTAAAACCACCATATCGATAGATCCTCTGTTTTGAAACTGCTAGTGATGTGCCACCTCTGGGCTTTCCTGGAGCTGAAGGGAATTCCTTCCATGTACGGCTTTGAATGTCAAATGCCCAGAGATCATTTGTTCGTCCAGAAACAGGACATCCTGCGTGGACAAATAATGTTCCATAACCGCCTTGCTCATCATCAGTCTTAGCTCCCTCTGCAATTATTCCAATCTTAGTTTCGTCGATAGCCTGATCGAAATCCACATTCTTCGTATTTGATGGCTCGGGCTTTTCAATAGCAACGCTCGAATGGTAAGATCGCGCAGCAGGGAAAGGAGTGCCAGGGACTGGATCTAAGAAAGACCATCTATCTGTCCTCGTATCGTAGACCCAAACTCTGCCATTTTCCTCAAGAGGTTTCATGTCTTTGCCACCTCTTCCACCAAAGATGAAAATTCGCTCTCCAATAACTCCTGCCGTATGTCCTACTCTCTTCTCGGGGACGTCTCCACCATTATGCTTAGGCTTGGCAGGTATAGCTCGATAATCGGCGCTGGTGACCGTACCAGAAGGGAGGATGATGACGTGCATGTCATTATCGACGGGTTCGCGCGGATTGATTTCACCTCCGAATATGTATGCTCGACCGGCAACAACTGCGACAGAGTGAGATGATCTCGGGAGCTGAACTCCATTAATGCGATTCCATTTCGCCTTGAGGGGATGCGTGTTCTGGAAGAGACCGTGAGTGATCTTTGTAGCTGTTGCTCCGATTTCCATCATTTTGAAATTCAGATTGCGATCAAAGAAAAGGTCAAATAGCTTAATCAATGTGTAAAACAAAATAGTTGAAAGACAATAGTATAAACCCGAGGTTTATAATGATTATTTCAAAGACTTACGATATTGAGATAGATAGTAACAAACCTGAATGTAATTGTGTAAATGATATGATGTGATATAATTAATATTCACTCACCATGTCAGAAGGGATGGCCAAGGAAAGTGGTTCGAGATGTTGGGCGATAGGGAGTACGTACGTCAGTCCATGTGCTCCAGGGTATTTCTGGCGGGAAGGTGGGGTATCTAGCTAGGTAGCTCTGGCTCTAGCTCTAGCTCAGGCTAGCCCCTGATGTCAGTGTGTAAGGCCCCGCAAGCCCACTCCTTCTTAGCGCCATTAATAAACAGTCTTTCGTTTTTTAAACTTTCAAAGAAAGCTGCCCGTCTTGTTTATTACCTCCATAACATGTAATAGGTCTTTAGCCTCACTGTGTCACATAGCTGGATTGATACCATTGTAATCTCATGCCCTAGATGTTATTAGGGGGTGACTAATCCGGTTAGGTAATGCTCAGAGGAATAAGAACATTCATTGGGACACAAACTTCATCTAAATTTGGTACCATAAACCTATACTATCACCGTCTTCGGTTAGCAAAGAAAAGAGATGATATCCAGATCTATCCTGCGAAGTTCACCACTTCGTAACACGATCTTGCGCTCAGCTAACAAGTCCCCGCTGCCTTTTACCCAAAATAAGATACCAGGATGGCCACATATTCTTACGTCTCTCAATCCACCCTCTTCGCGCGGTTATCAAGGGCGCAGGCAGAAATACTACAGATTCGATCCTAATGAAGCTCGAAATGCACGGCCCCTCATCTCCGATGAACATATCAAAAACTTCTCCAAACATCCTGCCCTACACTCATTCATACTCATATTACTTGCCGGTGGCGTAGTGGTTTACATTAGCAATATCGAAGATGTCCCAGTTTCTGGAAGAAGACGTTTCAACATATATAGCCCACAGGACATGGAGAGAGAAGGGCAAATAGCGTATCGACAGATTTTGCAGCAGTATCGCGGACATATTCTTCCCGATTGGGACAAAAGATCCATGATGGTGCAAAGAGTTATGAGCCGATTAATACCTGCGAGTGGCATCGACGACGTAAATTGGGAAGTCAATGTCATAGACTCCGAAGGTGCAATGCAAGATATCAAATGAATTTTAAAATATTTGGCTGACCCTCTCTGCACAGAAATGAATGCCTTCGTCATACCTGGTGGTAAGGTTTTCGTTTTCACTGGAATACTGCCGATTGCTTCAACGGATGACGGTCTTGCTACAGTATAAATCCCTTCGTATCTTTTCCTTAATGGAGAATTCCTGACTCACTGATCTTGCAGATTCTTGGCCATGAAATTGCGCATAACATCGCAAATCATTTGGGGGAATCGATGAGTAAAACCGCTGTGATTTATACACCCTTGCGTATGCTTTTTCGATTCCTGGATGCTACAGGATATACTGGAGGTCTAGGGCAAATATTCGGGTCTCTTGCACTTGAATTTGGCATAAATTTACCCGCGTCAAGAAGTCAGGAAACAGAGGCTGATCATATTGGGTTGATGATCATGGCAAAGAGTTGTTTTAATCCCCAAGCTGCAATTGGCGTATGGAAGAGGATGCAGGCAGCAGAAAGGAATGCGCCCCCTCAATGGCTTTCAACCCATCCATCGGTAGGCTCGTTGATATTTGTTTCAAAATTATAGCACTGATTCATACCAGAATACCAATCGAATAACGCAAATGCAAGAGTGGATGTCCAAAGCAGAGGCTGCAAGAGCCGAAAGTGGATGTGCATCCACCATGGAAAATTTCAATGACTTTCGGACTACATTTGGCGGACTTTGGTGATGACTATAAATGTTGCGGGACACTTGTCTGAGAACTTTATAGAAAGGGGAGTTCTTTTACAGCATTGGGACACTGCCGGACAGCACTGGGAGTTCAGTTGCCATTCTATGGGTGGGGATAAAATGTGAATAGGATTCACTCTACTTCATCTATCAATAAGTTCATCACAGTGAGTCTTTCTTTTACTGTACTTCATCATGATCGCAACAAAGGTATCGTGAGTCAATTTACGCAACTTTATCTGGCACCTGATATATATGTCTCATCAATACAGACTACACCCTACCGAGAACAGGTGGCAAGTAACCCATTAGGTAAAGGCCATGCAACTCCCCTCTCTGCGGCGCTAATGCCACGTATTGGTCGAGATGCATTCTTCCTATCGTAACACGTCCAAATTGATTTTCTGAACGACAATACGTTACCGCTCTCACAAACAACCTCGAATTGCACTGCAGTCGCGAGATCACGTGCAAGCCAGTGATACACACCGCTTCTAGCCTTATGGACGATTGGACCCAGATAAATGCATAGGATCATGGCGTGCATTTCATTACGAGGCGCGCCTCTCCATTCGGAGTGGTCAATCATTTTGGCGTTACATAGCTTGGGTCCACACCGCTATATACCACTCCCCGCTTGTTCCTTTCAAGAAAGCTTTGAGCTTATTGCAAGTCCCACCCCCGCCATATAACGTAAATTATTCGTTAAAAATGGTGCAGATGAGAAATATGCGATAGACCGATAGTCCTCCACCTACCCAAGGTTGTGCGCTTGGCAAATAAGTACGGCATGGCCAAAATGATATCTTCTAGTTGAGGACGTGTCTGCTGTGTTCTTGTGAGCCTCCATCCCCTCTTAAATATTCCTATTGTCCCCTTCTCTGATAAATTATATGGCCTCCCTTTCAGCATTTCACATTCGCCTTTCTTTATTCTTTATTCTTTTTGCACATACCAACTGCTTTCCTTATCCTTCGTTTGAAGTAGCAAAATGGCAGCTGCTGTCATGCAACCACCTTCGGCTATGTCTATGGATAGGGAGATCATGCCCCCTTCTCCTATTTCCAACAACCAATCTAGACATGGTAGAGGAAAACATGGGGGAAGTGTCTCCAGCAACAAGAAGAGTCGTCAGAGAGGCTACAGCATTATCGCGGAACGTGACTCTACTGTCACACGGGCCCTTACCAAGCTTCTAAAGCGTTTCTCAGAAGAAGACAACGAGCTTGAAGAGGGTACAGAGAAGTTTGTCGCCAGTGCTGAGGGCTGGCTTAGTTGTGAGAAAGTTGTAAGTAAAAACCTCGAGGATTTGAGGCCTGCCATTTCAGGATTTGGTTTTGAGCAAAGAAGTCATTTGTCAAGCAAAACAATCTAACATCAAGCTCTACAAAACAGCTCAAGAACCTCGAGACTCTTGATCTCACTCTTCTGGAACTTCGAAAAATCTTACAATCCCCTTCCTCAAAGCCACGGTTCACCCTTAAATCAATTTCCTCATCCGAGACTGAGTCAGACTCTCCATCCGACTACCTTATTCGTCTCAACACTCCTTCTACCCCCACAACTATTACCCCAAGCAACATATCCATGGCTTCTCTTGAGCTTATCACCATGTCGAGCGCAGATCTACCCGACTTTGTCGTGTATGAAACCTCCTACTCAAACTACCCCCTCATCCTCGCTTCCGGAGGTATCAGGAAAGCCGGCGGGCAATCCCATCTATCATTCACCAGTATCTTTATCTCGTCTGATGCAACCGAAACTCGAACTCGTATATCCACAAATAAGGATGACGCCGATGTATCTATCTACATATCTCTCAAAACCACTATAGAATCCAACCCACAGATAAAATGGTATAGAAATGGTAATGGAGGAATAGTCAGTGAAGGAGATGACAATGGTTTAATGAGCAAGAGCGTATGGAAAAAAGTCATAGCAAGGAAAGTGGATATAGGAGTCCTATTTGAGGATGGAGTGGTGAAGAAGGAGGTCCCGGTTGGGCTGAGGGGAAAGGGTGTCAAGGGGAAGAAGTTGGGAAGGGGAAAGGGAAATGGTTGGAATAAGGAGATGAGAGCAAGGAGTGAGGATGAGACGAAGTCAAATGAAGATTAGATTTCTTTGTCGGTCGTGTTGAAAAATTTGGAGTGGCTCATTTGGATCTCTTGGAGATTAAAGCTAAAATGGCACTTCTTCACATGTAACTTCAGTACAAGCATGGCTATAAGTCTGCCAGTAACAAATTGTTGTAGCATCAAAAGAAAGTAATAGAACAAGCTTTAAGACACTTTTGTTACTTGCTTCAAAAATGTACTGACATAATTACTTCTAGATTTTCTTCGCGTGTTGATTTGAAGGAACTATCCAGAAGTACTTTGAGTCATTACAATACTCGAAACACGCATAATAATATTCGGATATGTTTTATGGGAGTTTTGTTATGTCGGATATTGGGTGTTGGATTATACGTAGAGTGGCTAGTACGGATTGGATCTTGACAAAGGGGTGATGATGCGATGTTAGCGTTACTAGAGTTTGGACGGTTCAGTGTTCGTGGTGTTCTTTTCATGATAGTAGGTAAATTTTGGTTGATACATCGAGTGTATTAGGATATAACGACTTTATACATTTAGACAATTTACAGAAAACGAGTTGCAAAGTTGGCCAAAAAAAAATTAAAAAATGTAATGACAAGTGTATCCATTCGCGCTACCTTCGTGTCGAGTATTAAAATATAGCAATAGCGTTTCCATGACTAGATACACCTCCCGGGCAATTATTCGGAGCACTTGTAACGAAGAAGCTCCACCTTCCTTTCTCCTTACAGGTCTTCGCCAATTTCTCCAAGTCGAACATTTCTCCTAGAGGCATACCCCACAATGCCAGTATATATTCATGTAACATGAAATGCTCTTGCGATGGCCAAGCTTCAAAAGCAGGAGCATCACCAGCTGCAGCCGAAAAGTAACAATCGTGCAGCCAATCAAGCATATCTTCATCTTGTTTGAGACCCGCCCATCGCTGGCCATCACCAGGTCCCATGCTATGTGGCCTGAGAGCAGCTGCTTTTCGTGCTTCTGGAGATTTGGTATGGTATGTAGATACGAAGCCCGAGCGGACGAAAAGGAGATCTCCAATTTGAATATTTCCGCCTTGGGAAGCGGGGCGGATGTCAATTCCTTGGGCCTTTCCAGCTGCTTGCAACTCAGCGTAGGATATAGTGTGATAATCAAACGGATCTACATATGCACGTCAGACAACCGAATAGTACAATTTTGTGGTGATTGATTACCATAGATAATTCCATTCTCCTGAGCATAAGTCCAGTAGTCAATCAAGACACCGCGACCAGCAATTCCATGTTCAGCCCAATGATGAATACCACATTTATTATCGTCCTTCTCAGCTCCCACTATATCTTTCGCATTAGTCCCATTGTAGAAGTTGCCAGTTGATATGTGTGCAATATGTCTGAATCCATCCCATTGTGTACCAGATTGCGTATTCAATGAATATAAATCGTCATAGGCTAACCCTGGAGCTAATTCTTTGATTTTATGCTCAAACGGTTCTCGACTAAAACCTGGTACTTCTGGCATGTTCAGAGGGAGATACAATGGAACGATCTCGCCGCTTTGAATTTCACTAGATGCAGCAATAACTCGACTTGGGGTGAGAAGATTCAATCTTCCGATCTAGGTAACAATTAATGGCATTGAAACGCAAAGAACCAAGAGTACCTACATAATCATCACTTCCCCAAACCCACGCACTTTTAGAGATCAGTTAAGTTTCTGGAAACGTCAAGTGCTACTTACGCTCCTTCTGGTGCATCTTCTCTTCGCGGAACATCCTTTCTCGATGGAAACTTCGTGGAATTTGGATCGAATGGAATAGTCGTGGCTGTTTTGTTCCCCGTTAAAAAGTCAGTGACTTGTGTGAGCCAGGTAGTAACTTTCGAATGTATACCTGACATCTTGAATAGTAATTGTGAAGTTGAAATTGCCTTTGAAGAAGATGAGAATTCTCAAGTTCAAACATCACATCTTAAGCTTTCTCGCTTTGTCAATAGAGCTAGCTTTCTTCATTTCCAAGACAAGTTATAGGCCAATCCCTTGCAAATATGACATAGTGCCCGTACACTCGGAAACGTTGACAAAAAAAATTGTTTTTGGGATTGTGCCTTGACCAATCCTACTAGATGTCATAGAAGGGGTAAAATACTCGAGCACTTGGCAAATTCCTAATCGTCGGCTGCTGGGAACGCCGAGACTTCGTGAGTCGGGGAAAGCGAATGTCCTTAGGAAGCAAATTGTCCCTCCTGCTTTCCAATGTCAAAACCTCATGTCCAATACTACTAATCAATAGGTATCATAAGGTTGAAGCGGGACAATTCGTTTTCCGAGGATATTCGACTCACACAGTAGTCGGCCTTCCAACTACCCGACGATTAAGGTTGGTGAGTAATCAAAAGATTGTGAAGACCAAAAATACGGTAGCCGAAACAGAATCATCATGTCAACCTAGTCAACCGCAGAAAGTGCTTTGATATCCATAAGGACTCATCGGTCAAAATTCCCATCAACCTTTGTCATTATGCCTTCAACTCTAGGCCATGAAGAACCCCAAGCGCAACCAAATGACATATTATCAGAAACCAATTCTACATCTCGGAAACCTGGTCGCCCTCCTGGTGTGAATTTGGAACCATACAAAGACTTTATAGTGAAACTCTTTTCCGAAGACAGTATCCCTATCATCGATATTACAAGAAGGCTCAATCAAGAATTAGCTTTAGATGTCTCGGAACGTAAAGTCTCTCGAACTTTGGCAGCATGGAACATTCGCAAAAGAAATCGTGGACCCGTACCTCAAGCTCTCCAAGATCGATTAACCTTTCATTACAATCAAAATCTAAATGATGACCAAATCGCCGAAGCCTTGATTTCTGAAGGGTTCGAAATTAAAAGATCGAATTTGGGGCGTTTAAGGCAGAAGCTTGGTATGCGACGAAGGTCTCGATATTCTGAATTTCGCGAATATTCCCAAGGCCCCGCAGTTGTCAGCAATTCATCATCCACAACGGTTACATCAAAACCGAAGAATACGAAACCAAAGATGGCACAGAATGCTGGATTGATCGTGCAAGTTACGGCATTTGTCGAGAAGTACATGAGCGCGTATGACGGTTCCCACGATTTCAACCACATTCGACGCGTGGTCGGACTGGCACATAGAATATACAAGGAGCTTGATGGAGAGGGGGTGAACGGCTCGGAATTGGACTTGCAAGTTGTGACTTTGGCGGCACTTTTGCATGACGTGGGGGATAAGAAATATCTTTTGCCCGGCCAGGATCAAAATACTTTGGTACTTTCAACGCTATTGGGTTTTGGGGCCGAAGAAAAGTTGGCCATCAAAGTGCAGAGAATCGTTCTCGGAGTTTCGTATTCGAGTGAAATTAAGGATTTGGCATTAGTGAGGGGCTTGATTGAAAAATATCCAGAGTTAGCTGTGGTGCAAGATGCTGACAGGCTCGATGCTGTTGGTAAGAATGCATACCAGAAATGAACAATAAGTAGCTAAGCTAACTTTTTGTTCTACTTTAGGGGCCATCGGAATTGGAAGAACATTCACATTTGGAGGAGCGAAGGGTGCAAGGAATATGGGAGAGACTATTCAGCATTTCGAGGACAAGCTGGAAAAGTTAGGAGGGATGATGAAGACAGCTCCTGGCAAACGAATGGCGAAGGAAAGGACTCAGAGATTAATAATGTTCAAAAACTGGTGGGAGGAAGAACAAAAGGATGCTGAAGGTTTACTACGGCCTCAATCCTCATCTTGATGATGTGGAGCTTGATGGGTACTTTGACTTGGACAACTCTCCGAGCGGGGAAAAATGATTGGATCTACATGACATTGAGGTTTGCTTTATTCGGTCAACTAATATTGGACGGGTTTGCTCCTCACCTGGATATTGATACCAAATATCTACAAGGCTTCAAAAGACAATGGATACTCACGATTTGGAACCAGATTCTTTTAACTTCCTATTGTCGTTGAGGATGGATGCATGACGTTCGAACCGCTCTGTCATATACTCAATTACCTTACATAACTATCCTCGATGCGCTCATGCAGCTCCGTCAATAGCACTTTTTCTACAATTACTTTTTCTTCTTCTCTTTTCACATATACCCAATTAGTTGAATTGCAACAAATTTCTTCGTCTTCTCGTCTCAATTGCTCATGACGCATCTTATAGGCCTGCATTTATCTGGTTTCTTTGAGCAACAGTTCCAAGTGTGCGTGTTGAGAGGCTACAAATTATTTGGAAACGATTGCGAGGAGGCAAGTTCAATGACAGAGCAGAGAAGAGGAGTTGAAGGCGGACAACGTGGGACAACTTTGCTAGAATTAGTGAAATAGTTGTGATGAGTGAGGGAAAACTGAGTACTACTCAAACTAAATACTTGCTGTTCAAAGTCGTACATGAAGAAGTTTGTAGTCAAAGCGGAAGGCAGAAGGCGAATTATTCCTTGACAAATGCATATTCTGCGACCTTTTAAAGCTTTGAGTCGATTTTCTGGGGAACTGCTATGGCAGCAAGCTTGCTCTGGACATGACCTTATTTAAAACGATTGATGAATCTTAGCAACATTGACAACAGTTCCCCTACAGTTCCAATGATAACCGCCGGAAGATCTTAGAAACGATTTCCTTCGATCGAAAATTAATGGGGATCACATGAGATATTTTGTACACATATCCTTTCAATACCCACATGACTGAAATTGGAACTTCCTCCGAACTAAATTGACCCCTGGCAAAAAAAGAAAAGATTTCCCCTTGAAGTCGGTGCGTGTGTTGTCGAAATAAAGTAAGGCCTCTTTTCTTTTGCATCTGTGTGCACAGTGAAGCCACGAAAGCTTTTTTGTGGAGTTTTGTGTGGATATACTAGGTAACTTCAATTACCCCGCAAAGGAACGGAGGAAAAACAATCACCAGTGACCATCCATCTTATTACTCGTATTTTCTCTTTTAGAGTTTGACTACGGACGGGTATTCTCCTGTACAACTCGGGACTTTGTAAATTACAGGCTCAGGCTTGCCTTTGACTGGAGATACTATTGTTTTAATTTGCCTCTTCACCAGGGGGATTTCCAAGGAAATTCCTTTTGCTATTTTTCCCGTAGTTAGTTCATTCTTTGCTCGAGCATCTATCCAATGACTCAAATTGGACTTACCAAAATCTGAAGCCTAACATTTTCAACAAGGCTGATGAGCTTGTTCACCTCGGTCTCCGAAGTACAGAATATTTCATGTGCAACGCATGTACGCATGTAACGTTGTCTGGGGTAAGAAATCCTTGATCCTTTACATACTTGCCAATTCGAGCCATGACTTACAATTCGATGCTCAATATGGATGTTTTTTATCTGTCAAGTGCAAGGGATATCAAACATGCTTGTTTTATTGGTCAATGACTTTGTTTGTAAAAGGATCGGAAAAATGAATGTGATTGTTTATAATGTGATTGGCTCCCTTTCCCGTAATTCCTTTTTCCGGGGTTGTGGGTCGGGGTACCAGAGTAGAGTAGTATTTTCAATGATCAACCACGCATGGATGAAGTGAAAAAATTGACAACAGGAAATTACTTGATGCAATTAAAAATGTTCAAGGTAAAAGCTGCGAGAATAATTATTATAAGTGTACAATACAAATGTGCCGGTATTTACGCAGATGGTGGATTGCATCTAGATTCTAGACATCACCGCTACTTTAAATAGGTACCTAGTCAAATTTTTATTCATCGCTTGGAATTAGACGTTTAGAACTTTAGATCGATCACACTACCCGATGCATGATGGAGGGGAAAGTCAGGATCAGAGTACATATTTCCTGCAGGGAAAAGGCTTCCCGCCACCAAACTTAATGACGGAGCAAAATCTCGATTCTGTATTACGGCCGATGCAGATCAATACAATATGAATCTTTTACTGATAATTCCCTCAAATTAATTGGTTCCCGACGAACTTCTCATCGATGCACTGAACTTCGCTCGGATTAAGTCTCTAAAGAGGTAATCGTCTGCAGGTAATTATATGCGCTCGTTCAACCTATAAGAGAAAGCTTGTCCCCCGTCTATCTCTCTTGTTTCTCTAAGCAAAGTTCAAATAAATCACACTCTAAAAAAAACATCCGTTTTTTCTTTCCACATACACTTCTTTACTTCAAATCACCAATTTGTTTATTCCCCGAAACAGTCTTCAACCGCCAAAATGCAATTCTCATACGCAACCATCACCGCTCTGCTCGCTTCAGTAGCTTACTCCCAATCTGTCGCCAGTGAAGTAGCTCAACTTCCTTCCTGTGCCCTTACTTGCTTAGCAACCGCCGTTCCCGGTGCTGGCTGTGGTCTCGCAGATTATGCTTGTCAATGCGGTACTGCCAAAGATTCTATCACCCAGGCAGCTACCCCATGTATCGCAGCCGGTTGCTCTACCGAAGATGCTTTGAGTATGTATTCCTACTTCCTCCCATCATATGGGTAAAATAATTCTAACAAACTCCCTCCACCAGAAACCCAACAAGTAACCAACCAAATCTGCGCTCTCGAAAACGCATCCAGCTCATCTGGTTCCTCATCCGCAGCCGCCTCTACCAGCGGCCCATCCTCCTCCTCCGCTACCGAATCCTCCTCATCTGCAGGAAGTAGCATTTCCTCCGCCACCGGCAGCGCCATTTCCAGCATCAGCAGCTCGCTCTCCTCAGTTGGTAGCTCCATCTCTGCATCAGCTTCTTCAGTTGGAAGTTCCATTTCTGCATCTGCTTCCTCGGTTGCTAGTTCTGCTAGAGAATCTGCTTCTTCTACTCGTGCTTCGGCCTCTTCTCGTGCTTCGGCTTCTTCTACTTCTTCTGCTGCAGCTACTACTTCTACGGCTGCTGGAAACCGTGTCGCGGCTGCTGGTGCAGTGGTTGGTGCGGGTTTCTTGGCTGCTTTTGCTTTGTAGAGAGAGAGGGGAGTTTTTTCTCTCATGGAGGGAGGAGCTTGATGGATGGATGGATGGATGTGGTAATTTGTGTATGAGGAATTGGTATGGGAATCGGAATTGGGATTTGATGATGGGGATGGGGATGATTGATGATGAAATTAAAATTATCATGGATTTCAAGATGAATTAATGTCTTTTGGATTCTTTACACAACTTTGTTTTGCTAGATGGAGGATGGATGGAAGGCCAAAAGCAATTGGAAAAATTATGCAGGGTTGTTGGACCTTTTTTTCTATTATTGAGATTAAGATTTATCTTATAATTAATACTTTTTCTAATGATATCATAAATATACAATATAAAATCTTGGATGATTGTTGTTATTGTTGTTATTACTGCTCCTATTGTTCAATGGATTTTGAATATCTAGTTGGATGTAATGCTATCACTATATACCTATCAATTCAAATAGATTCAGGATCAAGGTGAATTCATCAAATCATCACCTCACCTCACCATAATCATAAAGTAAAACCCACCAACCTACACCCAACGTCTCTTAACTCCCGTACATATTACCTAACATAACGTCAGGAGATTCGGGGCTAGAATAGAATAGAGTAGAATAGAATAGAGGAGAGGGAATGAGTTCGGACATGACTAAATCAGATTAAATCAAAGTAAAGCAGACTAGAGCAAGGTACAGTGAACTAGACCTGACTAGAGTAGAGCAAAGCAAAGCAAAGCATGCCAAGGGGAACTAGGAATACTAAGGGTAATGATGGGATAGTATGGGATAGTATGGGATAGTATGGGATAGTATGGCTTGGAAGTTGGCGGGTGGTCACTGGTTGGTCTTTAGGTTAGTGGAGTGGATATGAGGGATTGGTTGGGGCTTGGATTTGGGGGTTGAGGGTTTGAGGGTTGAGGGTTTGAGGGTTGAGGGTTTGAGGGTTGAGAGTTTGAGGGTTGAGAGTTTGAGGGTTGAGAGTTTGGCTAGATGTTGGTTGGGAGGATAGATTGGTGGGATAAAAAGAACTGTGCGTATTGTGACGTGATGTAATGGGATAGGATGGGATATGATATAATGGGATGGGATGTGTTGGTAGGTAGGGAGAACTGTGCGTGATGATTATGGGTGGGATGTGGGGTGTGTGAAGTTAGAAGGAGGAGTGAAGTGTCACGATTCACCATTAGGATTGATGGTGTTACGATGGTAGCAAACTGATTAATTAGGAGAGCTTAGGCCGTGCGCAAACACGATCAGATTTCATCGAATTAGTATGTGATCTTGGTCACCTGAAGATCGTATGCGCACGCACCATCAGAAATCGCGTGATAAGGAGTCTTGAGGAGCCAGAAAGCTTCTAGGGGCCCCCTTTATTGTTCAGTATATAGTCAGAGTAGTTTCATAGTTTAGGAGCTTCGTGCTCAACTTAGTTATCAATTAGTTTACCTACATTCTACTTGATCTAGTAACGACTTCACTTCCAAGTGAAGACTAGTGATAAAGCCTTAACCCACAACTACCAATCAGACGAAACCTCAGGCAGCCGCTGCCTCCGGTACAGTATCGTTACATGAAGTTGGGTTGGGTAGATGTGAATATGATCTACACATCTACATCCTCACGACTCGAATAATAGAATATATTTTGAGATTTTGAGATTTTGAGATTTTGAGATTGATGTGAATTATAATCAGAGAGTGAGGGAGGTAAGAATTTAATTATTTACATAATTATTTTAGTATATCAAAGTGAGTAGATAAATATACAACTTTGTTAAAAGGAATGACCTCACACAGGGAATAGTGGGAAGCTGATAGGGCAGAACTGAGGTAATATTGGTCTAGTAGGTTAATCTCTCTTCTAAGTTCTACCGAAGTGCGAAGCTCTCTTACAGAGAGCTTCTCAATCTAGTCCTAATAGGACTAGTGCCCTGTGCACGTGCTACGCAGGAACCATTCACTTTAACAAACTTTTTATTTTAAACTTATTTTTATATCATTTATTTTATAAAATTCTCTTATTAATGATATTGAATAAGATACAAATTTTTAGTTTTAGTAAAATATTATTTATAAATTCCTATATAAATTTAAAGACATTTATTTTATTTTATTTTAATTTCATTTCATAATAAACTTAATAAAATCTTCTCTTATAATACAATAACAATTTAAACTCCTTCTTTACTATTTCTATTTATACTCTCTCTCTAGTATATAATACAAAACCCAAAATTTCCAGACCATCACTTACTTACCCAGAGCTTTCATGCAGTGTTCTCCGATAATAATCAGTAGCGTTAGTCATCCCATATAGCAATCATTCCTCTGTAATTTCCCATGCCCTTTCCTCTCATATTAGTCTGCAAATCATCATTTCTGATTCTTGGCTTTGTAATCCGTATAGGTAGCAATATTTTGCCACATTTTCCGGCAATATGAAGTATACCAGCTCGATATTTCCAGGATAATGGCATAGCTTCATGCTTTTTCATTAAACGCGTACTAGCACATCATACTTATATCTGTGATGTAAGATCTTAGTTCTATAAGTAGCTATCATTGAGATACCTATAACGCGCTGCATAGTCATTCGATTATATACAAAACAAAACAAAACAAAGCTCAAATCTAATCTGATCTAATCTAATTCTCCTTGCGGAACTCTATAATGATGTAATCAAGACAGCAAAGTTCCAACTTGTAGCTTATCCACTTGGAAGTAAATCCACCATCAAATTTAAAAGTTAAAAAATCAAAACCTCATTCTAGATTCCCACTCATCTAATATCATCCAGATAAGCGACACTTCCTTCCGCAACCCCCTAACAAACAACGCAATTCTACGAAACTTCAACAAAGACAACCGTGGTATCAAAAAAGAAAACAAAAATTTGCGAAAACAACCGAGAAAAGCAAATTCGTTTGAAGAGGGATAATTGATCTCGAACCGGCTGATCTTTTCACTGGCCTATGAAGAACCATTTCATCAATATTTTTGATTGCACATTTTAATCATATAATCAAGAGACATGGCAGTATTTCAACGACTGAGACTCAGAATTTAGGCTCTCGTTCCTATACTACTTTTTAGAAATATAGATGCATAAAGTCCTTCTTACAGGCCATTTAGAGTATTTTGTGCTGCTAGTGCATTTCCTGTTTGATGTTAGGTTTGAGATTTTATGGAGAGGATGGAGGATTTTAATTTACCAGTGTCAAAATAATCGAGGAGCATTACTCGTGGGGGTCGACCCCAGGTTGTTGTGCAGAGATCGGCTTGCGCTCCTATGCTACCTACACCTGTCGCTGCGTTCTAAGAAATTGCAAGTTAGCGATTTGCCTGCGGAGGCATAAAGACTTATTACTTACCGTCGTTGCAGCTGCTGATCTGTCAGGTATGAGAATACCAAGTATATCAACATCCAAATAATGGTTTATCAGCGGCAAGAGTCCATCTCCATTAGATCCCCCAGGGCGATCAAGTGCACATGTGGGAAATGTAGAAGTAGTTACATCGTATGCAGTTTCGAAAAAATAGGAAAATTCCGGTAGGATATACGGAGCCACATTTGTATTTGCGTCATAATCTACACAAAGTTAGTTATTGGCTGCGGAAAATATTGGTAGGGCTGACTGCTCACCAAGAAACATAACGAGTCGATCTCCAGCCGTGATCATTTCTTGAAGTGTAGGCCATTCGTCTATGGCTAGCTGATGTGGTGGTGTGTATGCATAGTTTGCTAGACCAGATGCCTCCATTACTGCACTGAAATTTCCCACAGGAACATAATCTCCATTCGTGAGTAGTAAGGTTACAACTTCGTTGGGGTTTGCATCAAGCCATTTCTTGATATCTGATAGATAATCTACTGCTGGCCCAGCATCTGTATCCAGAATGGGTTAATAATTACTTAAGGAGGTGTTGAGAACAATAAGGAAAAGAATCCATTGGGAAAAAAGTAGATACCGTCTAAAAGAGGAAATAGAATTGAATGATAGGATAACTGGATCTACAACTAACCTAGCTCAAAGCATGAAGTATGGCAAAGCGTCAAAGTTTTGAGGAAATAATGGGTTTGGGCTTGAAGGAATCTAACACCGGCATTGAGTTGAGCCGTGACATCGATATTTTGATTTTGTGTTGGTAAATCCCCTACAAAAGCACTATCGTGTGTTCCAATCTGGGATATATTCGACCATTTTCGATCACATAGCTCTGCGTAACCATTACAAACTTGTGCAACAGTGACTGATACGCACACACTAAGATATAAAAATAGACGCATTTCGCAGAAATAACCTTGTACAAAAGTACCTAGGGAGGAGTGTGTCGCAAATCCATGAATGCGGAAAGGAAATCAACTATCTTTATAATATTGATGCTATTGAAATATAGTAGCATGTATTAACATATGATCCCACATCTAGCTCGTGGATGGTTTTGTAGCTTCCATTTTAGATCATCGGGCCGAGTCATCCTAACCAAATATTTATATGGGTCATACACAACTTAAGGCTATCTAACAATATCTAACCACACGCCGTAATTATTCCAAGCGATACAAGCTTAATGAAGTTTATGATGGACATTCATAGAGATAGGTTATCTACGGAGTATCAACGGGTTTGGATTATTTTGTGGGAGTTGGGATTAGATTGACAAATGAAAATTGGCGAAGCTTACTCGTGGATACCGAAGGATAAGTACCAACTGCCGATGCGGGGTTAGCGTGAACGTCTAGGAACCAGATCCTTTCATGTTGCATCGCATATACTCCATAAAGTGTCCTTAAGTTAATGCCTCCCCCATCTTCTGCGGAATATTGTTCATTATATAGCCACGCGTATTTTCAGGGGGGAAGTCAGCTAGCCATTGAAGGTTACACGCCCGTCTTTCAATAAAAGTGTCCATGACCGAACTCAAAGACAAATGTCTGCATGTGATCTGATTTGGTGAAGAGATGACGAGGAACTCTGGCTTTGCCTCGGGTTGGTACGTTATAACTTCCTTATTTGATCTTATTCATTGCGAATGATTCGGGTCTTAGAATGTCATCTTATGTGGCCATAGAAAAGCAAACTTTATCTGATGACCTGAGAAATCATAAGTTTACAAATTTAAACTGATATTGAACTTTTAAATATTGTCCAGTGGAAGTCCAATATTGGCAGGGTTTAAAGGAAACAAATCTGAGTTTCAAAGCATAGAAGTGCAGAGACCTGTGAAGTCGATCACGGGATTTTGGTCAATCCTCGATATATTCGGGCAGAATAGTGCAGTCTAGCCACATAGCTGAGTAGGAAAATCTACTTTTTTTTGGTCTTATGCTTTATTTTATCGCTCAGTCTTTGCGATTGTGACTTTGAAGTTCCACAATATACTAAAGTTAGGAAAAAGGAGAGGAGACTTCAATAGCATTCAAAACTGGGGCTGCTTTTCTACCTTAATATCGCCAGGATCTTTTTCTTTCCGCTCTAACTCCCACTTCTACCTTCCACCGTTCCCTGGCGTGCTGAAAAGAACATTTGATAATTGCCAAAGGTTCATTTTAGAAGGAGGTTATCGCTCGCTGGGAGGAGATGCCAGACGAATAGAAAACTGGCATGGAGCAGAAGTGCGGAGGGAATTGAAAGTTTCATGAAGTCCTCCTGGTAAACTAGCTAGCTTTCTAGTGCATATTCACGAGCAGTTATAAACCAGAAGACGATCCGCGTGATAATTAGGACAGCCGGAAAAGGGAGCGCTTGTGGAATCTTTCCTGAAAGCGGAGTTGACGCAGGCCCTCTATCAGAAAAAAGACGGCCTCACATGCATGCCGTTGGCCTCAAGATGAATCGGCTCTTAAGGCGATGGAGGAAAAGGGGAGTGGAACCAAGCTTTTTACCGACCCGAAACTCACATTCCCTCCCTTCATTCCAACCACATTTTCCGCCGCCCTCGCTTCTACTCGGCACCTCTTCCCCCACCATCCTTTAAGCTTTATATCGCCGGTCTTCCTACTTCTTTTCTCCTGTTTCTATCTTCCACTACGGGCTCTGTCCATTCAGATCTACTAAAATATTCCATACTGAATATACAAGCGGTTGGAACGATAAAACGACAAGTATGAAGTTGTGCCTCAAAGCGGTTAAGATCAGCTGTATGATAGATCACCTCAAATCCATTTTAATTCCTTCGTGTGAAATAGTATCTATGCTTAGTTTTTTATCAAAGATCAGAGGACGATGGGACTGGGAACTAGTTTTTATGAACTCCATACGTTGGTTGTAAAGGGGTTTGCAGACGAGGTTTACCACGCGGAAATTTATATGTAGGTCTATGCTAGTAACGAGGCTAGTATCACTACTTCATGGCACCAGCGGCTCAAGGTCCATGGAAGTTGGTCTCTTTTGCTGAAGGATTTCCCTTTTTATAATATTGGTTGTAAAGGTCTTATATCAGTTTTCCATCTAGTCAGCTTGGTAGTTGAGTGGATGAAGGTTATATTTCTTGTGATGGGAGAGTCTACACTCCTTCCTACTGCTGGAACTTAGTAGGCCGTGGAGCAAATGTGGTTACCAATTTCTGTTATCTTTTGCTCGTAGTCCCCTCCTAAATCATATACATCCAGCTCTTCAGACTTTTTTACTGGTGCTTCTCACTTCGAGACGCCCAGTTCAATTGGAACTTGTTTTACACTTATTCCCATAAAAAATCCTAGTTTCCACAGCTATTCATTTGATGCTCTGTTGTGTTCTCTCTTCTTTCGTTCTTCTTTTCATCCCCTCTCGCTTACCTTGCCCTTCTCGTTTCATCACACTTCAGCTTCTGACTCCTATGCTTCACCTTTCAAGTAGTCGACGAGGAGGCACCGGCTATTACATCCGGGGTTGGAACATGGTGGGGCGATCTAAGAAGCAGAATATAGATCGTCATCCATTGAAAATATTCCAGCAGCGTGATAAAAATGATATGAATGAAAAGTGAAATGAATGATAAAAGCAATATAAGGAATTTGAAACTGATCTATTTACATGGATACTGTAGTAGCAAAGAACAAATCTCATAACTAAAGTATGCTTCGCTCAGTTGCTTAATCCACATGTCGACTAAGCAACTCGAAAAGGGTAATGCATCCATGTTTTTGTTTACTCTAGAATATTTTTATTTATCTACCCAGCTTCGATTCAGTAAAACAACAGACAGAAGGTTAACACACAATACCGCACATAATGGCATTCTTTACGCTCTCGTACCTCCTTGCTGAGCAGATCCATCACTCGAATCAAGAACAATCCACTTCCTCAGTATGTTCCTCAGTCGCGAAACCTCGATCTACAGCTTCTACTATGGCTGGTACTGCTGCAAATCTCTATAGCAAACAATTGCATCCATCGCTATATTTTTTACCTGTAATATCACCACAATACACACCTTCCGGCATTGAAAATACATCCAAGAGCCCCAATTGCAATCAGTCAGCTCCTTTGCTATATTCCTCACATGCAGCTTCACAATCTACATCTTATGTTGTAGCAGATACCTCTGAGATTCTCGCATCCAGTAGCTCTAAGCTACAGCAAGATATACATCAAACAAGGGAATCAGATAAGGAGGAAAGTCTCCAGCAAATACCAGCGGTAAGTTTCCCATAGTGACTCCGTAGCCGGGTGTGGCGGTGGTAAGATTGTATTTTATTGCTGATTCTGACATATATATAGGAAGAACCTCAGGTGGCAGCCCTTCTTTCAATATGCATATTGCTGCGTTTGCTCATCAAAAACAAGGTAGGCTTTTAAAAGGAATTCCTACCATCTGGCTTGATATTGAGAAGGTAATCATTACTTTTGCTAATCTAATATATAGAAGGAACCTCGACAAACGCCATATCTTGCGTCATTCGTCAAACCCACACTGCTTGTGAAAGAGGAAGTTGCTAAACAAAATATTCAGTGTGGTGTAAGTTTTCTGGAGCATCCCATGACTAGTTGATATAATACTAGTACAGAAACTCTTACATTTACTGACCTCAAGACATATACAGGACGAAACTCAGACCGCCCCTCCTCTCCTCTCCCCCTTCGCTGTACTCAAACCACCCCTCAAACGAACAAAAATCAAAAACATCCACACCGACCAACACGAATACCATTTCTACGGCACCACATCATCCCCAGAAATTATCACATCCGAAGCCGCAAACTTCATATGCGATAACTCTCGAGCATCCAAATCATCCATAAAGCGAATCCTGAAACAATTCCTCGCAATCACGAGTCAAGACTCCCAAGATACCTGCCACGTTACTCCCGAAGCTATGTGGTTCATAGTAAACATGACGAAAAAATCCAAGAACTTCCATACAGCTCGATGGCACCGCGACGGTCGAATGATCGAATGCACGGATGGAAATCACATCCTTCATTGCAGATACGCAAGTACACTATCTGGACCCACCACTCTCGTTCTTCCGGAAACAGATAGAGTCACAGGTGTTATGCGTACATATGCCGGGAATCGAAGGAAGATATCAGATATTCTTTCCTCGGAAGAACCATTAAAGATATCTTGTAATCAGATTATTCGATTTTCGTGGGGTAAGGAGGATAGCCCTGTTCATTCTGAACCGGATTTGGTCACCGATCGAGTTTTTATCTCTTGTATTTATGGGAGTATTTGTGAGATTAAGGATATTGCTTCTACGCGTAGACAGGTGATTGGAGATTCTCAGGCGTTTTTTAGAGGAGGGGGTGAGAAAGGAGTTTAAGTGGAGGCTGCTAGATGTGTAAATTTTGGGATCTTGACTAGTTGAAGAGGGGATGATATAATTGATTGTTGAAAGGTCTACATCTGGTAGTGATTAGTCTAGAATTGGAAGATGGGCTAGGATAAGAAGAAGAGACTATCAGAGATATTAAGATGGAATGATTTGATTTTTCGGTTGGAGGATAGGATAGAATGAGAGGATACGAATTTATGAATAAATGAATGAATGATATTCAGAGCGATAAATCAAATGATTATTATTTCCTTCTTTTTCAGATTGGAGATAAAATTCTTGATCAAGAATTGTAAGGATGAGATGAGTAGAAATTTGAGCAAGAGAGAATATATTGATTACTTTTAAATCGAAGAATGAAATGAAATAAAATAAGAATATAGTATTGAATACAAATTACAGAGTAAATAAATCAATTTGTAAGAATATAAATCGAACGAATATTAATTATATATCTTGTTAAAAGGAATGACCTCACACAGGGAATAGTGGGAAGCTGATAGGGCAGAACTGAGGTAATATTGGTCTAGTAGGTTAATCTCTCTTCTAAGTTCTATGGAAGTGCGAAGCTCTCTGTAAGAGAGCTTCTCAATCTAGTCCTAACAGGACTAGTGCCCTGTGCACATGCTACGCAGGAACCATTCACTTTAACATATCTCTTTAAATTAAAACAATTATAAATTCTATATAAAGTGAAAAAAACCTTTTAATTGATAAAATTCATTTATATATAAAACTTAACACAATTACTTATTCGTCCAAATAAAATTCTTCTAATATTAAATATTATTAAAATAACTGTTAAAGTGAATGGTTTCTGCGTAGCATGTGCACAGGGCACTAGTCCTGTTAGGACTAGATTGAGAAGCTCTCTTACAGAGAGCTTCGCACTTCCGTAGAACTTAGAAGAGAGATTAACCTACTAGACCAATATTACCTCAGTTCTGCCCTATCAGCTTCCCACTATTCCCTGTGTGAGGTCATTCCTTTTAACAATAACCAATAATAAAAAAATGAGAATAATATCAAGAACTAAACTCCAATTCATCTTATAGATATGTAATATCCGCATGATTATCTCTCTAAAGAATCTTTCTTATCTCTCTTCCTCACTTCTTACTTGGGAAGGTGATTTCAAATAAGCTTACTGTTACGACGGCTATCTTCTACGCCGCGTCACATGACTAAACCAAGGTAACGTGATTAAGTCACGTTATGGGCCGCTGAGGAACGCTGGCTGTCCAGGACCGCGCAGCGGTCCTGACTAGCCATAGGCATGAAGGTCTATATAATCAAGATGGATTTCCTTTGTATAGAGCTTCGTGCTCAAGATCAATCATTTAGTATACTCTACTATTAGTTACGAATAGCATATCATTATTGTCATTACTTTAAGTCCCTACTTGACGCCTAGTTATAAATCTACCTCGAGAGCCTAGAGCACTTCCACGTGATCTAGACGGTTACCCTCGTAACACTTACTGGTCTATTCGTGTGGTTCTTCGATAGGTTCATACTATGAAAGCGACCAATCTAACTGTAAAATGGTGTGCAGGGACCTTGTCTCCATTTTTAGGCCGTTTAGGTGAAGGTTAACATAACGACAACCAAGAATTTCCACAACCTCAACTTTCACAACTGCTTCCAGGAAACCGGCAAAAGCTACTTCTCAAATTATAGCTTAGCTTTCAACTTTCATGAATCTAATATCAAAAAGAATCAAGGATAGCGAACAGGTGATGTTTATATGATGTCTATTGATTAGAGTGGGTATTTAGACGTCATGTTGAATCGATGAACTTGAAAAATTAAGAGCTCACTCCCAGCACCTTTAGCAACACAGGAACACATCAATATCCTGCCAATTATCGATGGCCCTACTGATCCCTTCGAGCTTCGACATGGATTTACATAAAGTTTGAGGTCGACCATGTACATTCCGGCCCCTACATGACGAGACCCATATGTTTAATTCCTTCCGTATTAACATAAGTGCTTTAATCAGACAGTAGAACGCTTTGCGGCTTGGTTTTCTCTACGTCGAGTGATCCATCGAGACAGCTGAAGGCCGATAAGTCCAACTGCAACAATGAAGACCACACAGAAGACAACAATGACACCAGGCTCACGAGCTGCCCAGTTCTTTCTCCTAACAAGGTGTTGTGTAGCTTCGCGGATCTGGGTAGTTGCCATATCGATCGGTTACTGTAAATCAAACCATCAGTCAAGTGCTCAGTATCCACTTTTGAAATGTTCAAATCAAATCTTCAATTGAGAAGTTATTTCGTGCGCATCATCGACATCCGCCAAATGGATCACCAGCTTGATAATCAAAATTCAAATCCATGGATCGAGAAAGGACAGCCTGGGATAGTGGGCTTTTGGTCGCAAGTGCTGCTTGAAATGAGGACGGGTTATCTTACTCGCTGGCTTGGAGCTTAGGATTGAGGTGAAGGAGGCTCTATTTGTAAGAATCAGTAAAGTCATTGAAGTCTAAAGAGTATCTGTGAAAGTATCACTCACGTTGACGGATGACTTCGTAAAGATTTTGATGGCCAAATGTTCGTAAGTAAGAAGCCGTTGTACGGTCAATTGATCTGTTGAACTGTCAATTTTTGATATGCTACCAATTACTGCTTAAGAGCCAAGCCAGCCAGAGACGAGTGTTCACAGATATTGCAATGCCGAGATTTCTGCCAACCAAATCGTGCGACTCGAAATTCGGCCATGTACAAAGATGATTCGCGTCAGGCTGATGTGCTCATCTTTAACGCGGGGGGAAATGCGGGGAAGGTATGAGGAATTCAAAATATGTTGGACTGGATATGACTTCCCAGATGGTCGTGGTAAACTTCTGGAATTATATTATTTCGGGTGAATGATGCCGACTCTCCACTGAGAAGTATTTTTTTCGTGGTGAGAGAGAAATGGGTCTGAGGAATAAGAATCTCCTTC